CTTTGTTTCTTCAATGTAGTAACATTCTTTACTATCACCTATAATGCACATTTAATATAATGTATATTATATTCTAACACGAATACACATTTTATAAAAATCTATACGTAGAACGCTACAGCACTGTATCGTGTAAAATATACAAATAAAAGACATTTTCATAGCAAATATGCTTCACTGAATTTAATTACAAGTAAAAGAATATATGCAAAACATGATTCTGCTACACATTCGTCTACCAGATGGACAATAAAGGTTACATGTACAGAAGTTTAGCACGGTTTCTTATCAAATTATATTTAAATACAAAACCAGATATCGTTTCGCAGAATAGTTAAATTTATTCAAAACCCAAGAATTTAAACGAGACTTCGGAAAAGGAACAACTTTATATCGTGCCCGGATAATTAATTCTCTTAGAATGATTGTTATTATTGTATTGTTGCAAAAAAACAGCAGGATTATGGGATAAAAACTGTCGCAAAGTGATACTCGGAAAATTACGATAACTAGTCGCATCAATTTCTAGCATGACTTTGCACGCGGCTAAAAGTGAAGTAATTAAAACGAAGCTTACTGACACGTAGGAAACTACCTGTAATACGACAGTAGGCCATTTGACAGGACGAACCATCTTCGTTGGTAACCTTTTAAATAATTAGTCCATTTAAATAGCCAGCCTTTCATCTCCTGTGTACCGTGCAGAGCCTTTGGGTCCCCCATTTTACAATACGTTGCGTGCTCACACGCGTTTTTCCTGAAATTACAATGCACTCCAATATCTGCGTACACATCACCCGTGTCGTACGGCCACCATTTTGATATTCCTCTGGCCCACGGACTTGTTCGTTCTTAGATCGAAATTCTACTTATACACACTGTTCGTCAGTTCTTAATACACCAGCAGCGATACCAACAGACTCGAAACCACGTCTTAAAAACACGATATTCAGAAACGGTATGGATCCTCCTTTCGCACGTCGTGATAACCCGCCACGTTCTTCTGTGACGGCGCCTAACCTTTATTACCGAGTCATCTATACAGGGTGTCTCAAACTATACAGTACAAACGGAAAGAAAGACAAAAATTAGATAAAATATGTAAAATCAAATTTTCTTGTATGAGATTTAATTTTCGAGTAAATCGATTTCAATAATATCGGCATGCACACTCTCAATTAACAAACTTACGGGTTTCGACTTTGCTTATCTGTTGTGCCTACATACAAAGTTGCAGGTTAATGTTTGGAAAACATGACTTATCACTAAAATATTCTTTTGTAACTATAAATTAATACTTGTACCGTATTGTGCGCAAACATGATTCATTGAACCAATTTTGTTTACGTTCAAACACGAGCTATGTAGGTACTTTCCAAGTTGTTTTTTGCAAAATACATTGCGTTACGCACATTTTTATTTATTTTTTCTACTTTTGATGAAAACGATCTGTCGGTTTGCATTTCGTGTTTTGGTACACCCTGTATATTATTTATAGTCACCTATGTACACTAACACGTATAAATTTGATTACGGGTAATCTATGATTTTGCAGATTTCTCGACACCTTTATTCTTTCGTCTCTGTGTCTATCCTTGCGCAAGAGTCAACTTCGATTAAAAATAAGGAAGAAGAGAACAATAATCGATAACTTCGATAATGTCGGATCTTGTGCGGAAAATTTCAAGATTCAAATTCTAGCAAAATTTTTTGTAAACGTAACATATGCTGACTTCCGTGTTTTTGCAACGTTTAGATTACAAGGAATTAAGACGATACTTAACAAAAGATGCAGAATTTCGTGAAAATGAATGAAATCGCATATGGTTTTTGTCATACTTGACGGTTTTCCATCGATTTAATACAAAAGAAAAATGATCTACACGTGTTACGATCCTACCAGGACAATACGAACGAAATACGTACGATAAATTAAATACCATCGTTTAATACCAATGTGAATGCATTTGTCACGCCGCCAGAGAATTAACAAAATTATTACGTACTTCTTGAAACGGACACGCCAACGAAAATACGTTCGTTCTGTCATTTGACAAAATGTGTGTACGGTCTGCTCGGATGAATTGCTCCGCTTGTAAGAGATGTCATGAAGAAAAAGCACTCGCCACACTCTTCGATTAGATGCTTGATACTGACCATTATCTTCAAACCGAACCAAGCTCTTAATTTATCTGAGCAGATCGCACAACGTAGGAACTATCCGAGTGTCTCTTTATTCTACTGTACAAAGAATATGTTATGAATTTCGATGTATTAATAGTTATGTAGTCAGATCACGTGCTTATAATATACATGTACCAAGCCCAGAAACACAAATCTCAAGATCAGCTATGTGTAATAGTTGTTTGATTAAGATAATTTAATATCCCTTATTTCGATAAGATTTAGTGAAGGAAGCTATGAGAAAGGTGGAGTTCAACGTTGAACTACTTTATCGATTACTGGAGAAGTGAATTCCAACGTTATCGATGCAATTTTGCAAATCGAAACAATTTTTATAGGAATATTCTATTATAATTATAAAAATGTAACGAAGTATGAAGTCGTGTTACATTCTTTGGTATTTGTGATTTCAATAGAACAGATTAAGCAGCTTAAGAGCTTAATTAGAATTAGTTTTTGGTTTTTTTTATATTCTACGCGAAACACATTGCACAATTATTAAATATTCCATCGAAATAAAAATGTTCTGATCGGTTTTTTATTTGAATGGACTTTGGCAACGATTTTATCTGTCTATAAGAGATAGTCTGCGAAAGATATAACTCCGAAGATTTTGATCGGGGGGATTTGTTTTTTTGTTGTTTGGATCAAGGAGAGAGGTGTGTTTAATATAATTAATATTCTATAATGTTATAACCTGACACTGGTTAACCCTAAGACCACCGAGGATCATGTCCCTTCAGATCAAGAAGGTACAGTTGCACTTAATTTTACCTAATTTTCGCAACATTTTTCGAGTTAATTAGTTGTAAAGTAATATAGTAGTATAGAAAACTTTTGTAATGCATAAAAAATGTAAACATATGTACACTGACGAGGTATAGGATATACTATGAATCTTATGGAAGTTTGTGTCACACGAACTGTTTATTCATTATTATGTAAGATATTAGGGTAACTAAAACTTTGAAAATATTCTTAGCTCCACTTATTTCTGTTAACGAATGGGACTTATTGTCAGAATATTTTCTAAACCGATATAAACACAGACGATGTATAGAACCTGTTACTTATATTTACCGACTTCCGTAACTGAGTTGAATATGGTTTCCAGAGTTACCACCATTAAATATAGACTGCGCTGCAAAATCACTATTCACGTGATCGGTACTTTAATTTCCATGGTACCAAATTTCATTAGATGCTAGATTTTATTTATTAATAATGTTAATATCCAGAATGACAAAGAAACTGGATAGAATTAAAAAATTCGTAAAAATAATTAAGATTGAAATTGAAATCGATGTCAGAAATCAAGGTTACATCAAAACCATACTATGGAAGGAGTCGAGGGCGCGCTCTACAAATTTTTATCCTTGAATACTTTTCCTACATTTACTCGTATATTTATGTATACTTCATTTTTATTTATACGTTTATACTTATTTATTTCGTGAATTCGTACACTTTTTATTTTAGACAATGGTTAGAAGTGAAAGAGCAAAAGACCGAGTCGGTAACGGTTCACTTTCACATTATCGATAAAGTGACGTAATATTGTTCTGTATGTTTTTTTAGCCTCATTGTTTGAATTTTCTTATCAAACTAAGAAATACTGAAATATCTCAACCAATAATGCATGTAATCAATGTTATGAGTCGGGTTTCTCTGCTTTGTACATATGTTACGAATACACGAGCCAAGCAGGTGATGTATAATATATAACCATCTGTTCACAATGTTTTGATATTTGTGTATTACAATTTTAAAAAGATAGGTTTCTTGTATGATCTGGTCAGATAAATCGAGAGATGAGTTTCTAAAGATCAAGGACAATATAAGAAGTTACCGTGCGAAAGAAGCCTTTCCCTTACGATATTTTTCTCAAGCGAAACGATACATTTTAGCAGACGATACCTATCGAATATAAATTACTTTCATGAATCTAGTGAAAATAGCGAACGAAGCGTAACAAATGTCTACCTTAATTATCGAATGCAGAATAAGACATGTTACAATCGACACGATCGATGGAAATTAACACATTCCCGTCGATCCGCTTGGATTTTTCGTAATTTAACTAATATTTCCGTACGCTAGTTTGTAAATAATATGTAGTAATGAAAATGTACACGTTTATTACATAACGAAACGCAGCTTAAAGAGTCGACTGACGCGTGACTTAAAACGAGATTCATCGTCGGGAATAGATTCCTATGTCTGAAATCAACGAACAATAGATTCGATCGAAACTTTAATTGGGCGAAACAATTAACATCACTTACTTAAAAAAATCTTTCGAACTGCTGAAAACAAACGAAGCGAACGTACGCTTCAGTTGCAGTCGGGCACACGTAGGTATTAATTCGTTAAAGTTAATGCGTTTCGAACACCCAGTAGAGGAGCTTGACGCAGGTCTGCGCCTGTCAACCAGCAGTTGACCTGTGTATAGTTGACTGTGGTATTTGACCGATCGCGCGGTAATATATATTTCTCTCGTGCGTATTTTTCCCGTATCACCTCGCGAATTCCTCGATATTGGACGAGCCGTGTTCGTACATATGAGGTGATGAGAGAGCCTACGAAGGGCCCAGACTTCGGACCTCCCAGGTGAGACGCGTGAATCACCAAAATATCGCGTCGGGACATAATCTGGGGTAAGGGAGTAGCAACCTCTTGGGGCCAGCGCTGGTCACGTGACCCCTCTGTTTACCAAAATGGTGAACGTCTATGTTTTACAAATGATTCTTGATTCTTTTCAAGATTTGCTCGTTCACCTGTGATAGTCCTATTAAATGGAAACGGGGTTATGGTGGTCATACCGTTAACAGTAATATGTCGTAGGCGAACAGTACCAGCTACTATTGTTATAGTCGAATCGCGTTCGGTTCGGTCACGAACGATTGCAGCGAAAGTTTGAAAGTGACCGTACGAAAGTGTCTTCCGCGTATAATTTCTCGGTAATTCTTAATCGTGCGCGTGAATCGTCGAGATTTACCGTGAACATTTCGAATGCGTTCGCTCACGATGCAATGATTGCCACGTTAATTACGCGATGCCTTAGAATCAATTGACCCCCTGGAACAGTGCTGTTTTTTTTTTCCATTCCGTTTCTAGACGTCAAAATTTCATTGTTCCATGTAATATCCTTAGTGGTAATCATCGTTGCCTTATCTTGTTATTGTTCAGTAACATCAACATATCAATTCTATTTCTTTTGTCAAAGGGGGTGACCGAAGTTCCACAAGGCCTAATTTCGTTAGTGACAATGTTGAATGCACAGCATTACAGGTACAGTCTTTGCGCTGTGTCTTTTACAGAAATTTTTAACCATTTGATGTTAAAATATCAATTTTGCAGCGATTACAGATGATCTCTGATGTAGGTTAGTGCAATCAGGAAGCACTTTCAAATAGGACATCTAAATGTCAAAAGGTGCCCTAGCGTAGCGTTTCATGCTTTGGCATTTTTAAAAATGGCCACGTATCAAGTTGACTACCAGTGGTTAGTCTTTGTTTACAAAATAGATAAATACATAGATTATAAATACGTTCAATACGATGAAAACTGGTTTTAGGGCTTATACCATAATGGATTCATCTAGGATATCCACTTTCCTAATATCGATTTTATTGATAGTCTATGGCAGTTTCCGATCTCTAAATATGGAACAGGAAGCTAGAGAAAGGGAAAGGGAAAGGGAACGTAGTAATTTATTGACTGGAATATTGAGTAACTGTAGCACAGCGAATGCAGATGGTGCTAATGGAAGAGTTCAAACCCTAAATACAATGCACGCTCTTTGTCTACCTCTTGGTGCTTCCATTTCTCTGCTCATCATGTTTTTCTTTTTTGACAGCATGCAAATGCTTGTGGCGATCTGTACAGCTAGTAAGTTTTACATACGTACCTTAGATTCGAAGACAAGTACAATTTGTTATATTTTAATAATTAAGTAACATTATAGGTAATGTAAAACAAATTCTTTATTTGCAGTTGTAGCTACAGTTGCATTGGCATTTCTTCTACTGCCCATGTGTCAGTACATCATTAGACCATGCTCGGATGGTAATAAGATATCCTTTGGAGTTTGTGGAAGGTTTACAGGTGCAGAGTTGCTTTCATTTTCACTGAGTGTGAGTATAGTATGCATCTGGGTGTTAACCGGGCATTGGCTACTCATGGATGCAATGGGCATGGGACTTTGTGTAGCATTTATTGCATTCATTCGATTACCTAGTCTAAAGGTATCCACAATACTGTTAACCGGGTTATTGATTTACGATGTCTTCTGGGTTTTCTTTTCGTCCTATATATTCAGCACAAACGTAATGGTTAAGGTAAGCTTCGCAACATTAGAATCTACAGTAGTACCCACATAAGCGACCACGCTCGGTTACTTCTCAGAATTGAACGGAGATAAGGAAAGAGGATAAGCGCGAGTGAAATACAATAGCTGGCACCCGACACGCTCGATGTTCGAAGCCGCTTGGCTTCTAAGAATTGGTGGGGATAACCGCGGTCACTTATGTGGGCACTACTATACGTGTATATTCTACAATTTATTATAGCATCGATTTTCGAAATTTGTTTGATAATAGGTAGCAACTAGACCAGCAGATAATCCAGTAAATCTTGTGGCTAGGAGGTTGCACTTAGGCGGTGTAGCGAGAGAAGCGCCGAAACTTCCTTTACCTGGAAAGTTAGTTTTTCCTTCTATGCGTCAAGCAGGACATTTTTCGATGCTAGGCCTCGGTGACGTCGTGATGCCTGGCCTCTTGCTTTGTTTTGTATTACGATACGACGCATACAAAAAAACGCAATTGTTACCTGGTGGTTGTGAAACAGGAGTTCCGCCGCCGCGTCACATCAATCGTATTAGTTACTTTCATTGTTCCCTGATCGGTTATTTTCTTGGTTTACTTACTGCTACTGTAAGCTCTGAGGTGTTCAAAGCTGCGCAGCCTGCCTTATTGTACCTTGTGCCCTTCACCTTACTGCCACTACTTACAATGGCGTACTTGAAGGTATTTTTCAAACGAGAGTTTTCGCTTTTATCGTATATTTTTGTGTACACGCGCTAAGCTGTTTAAACACGTTGTTACAGGGAGATTTACGTCGGATGTGGAGTGAACCATTCATATCTCAACAACCTCCTTCACACATGGAAGTTTGACAAGAGTCATGAGTTTCTGTACATTACACATTATGGGAGGAAAACTTTGTATGAATCCTGTTGTCACTTATCATCATGCCCTTATTTTTATCAATGTCATTTACTGTAAGTAATTTTTTTCTATACTCGATACACATCTTTTAATGCCACAATGCAAGTTACAATTATGCATTTGGAAAACGGTGCAAGTGATTTGCAGTGTAACTAAAGGTGTAACATATTATGAAATTGATTTAATGTAATATTAGGGGATGCAACATTAGCAGTGTAAAAGTCTCTTTTTCTAAATTGGAAGACGAGAGTTTTCTAAAATCGTATTTAGAATATTAATCGCTGCAAATACATTGTTGGTATTCTTTTTTGTGACTTGAATTTAATGTTGAGTAAACAAATGGACTATATATAGTAGGTAAAGTAAATGATATCGATTATTGTCTTACAAATTTTGTAACTATACTAAAACGTGTTGTGAGTTACACTTAAAAACAAAAATGCGTTTTTTTTTTTTTAGTTTTATGACGAGATTACCGTACAAATTTTCAATGATTTAAAATACATGTCTCTTTTTTTTTTTTTTTCTACGTTAAACTAATAATGTGTTTACGTATTAATAATTTCGCTCTAACTCCGTTATAAATGTGTGTGATACTCAGTGCAGAAAGTTTCTTTTTAATTTATTGTTCAGTGGATACCAGAATAATTGTATGTAACATGTAGTTATGAATAGAGTAATTTGATAATTATTCGAGGATTTCCACGAAGATCTAGTGAATGTATGTGTGTAGGTTGTGACTTTCTTTTATTTGGGGCTAGTATCGAACAAAGCATCATTTATGCAAACTTGTATATAAATTTTCGTTTTTATAAATTTAAGGGTTAACATTTACAGTTTGTTATTAGGATTAACAGCAAGCACTTCAACTTGCCAAACATCTTGCTAACTTCGTAAAGCACGACCGAAAATTGAAAACAGTCTTAGGAAAGATAAAAGTGGAAGTTGTAAATCTTTCTTATTAAAAATGAATTGCATATTTACGTCTTGATTTTCAAGAACTATCTCGTGATAAGAAAGAGTTTATTATTGCGAAATAGAGTTTTTTAACTAAGCTCTTGCTATGGATAGGCACCAGAAAGACTTTATATGTTTATTTAAAAACAAGACTGAAAATAATATTGTACGAAAGCCAATTTATTATGAGGTCACATAAAAACAATCGACCCCCTTTCGTTTAACTTCTGTTGTATCACTTTACAGTACTATAGATTGATATAATATGATAACATATTATATAATACAATACAATATAATGCAATGCGACACGATTGGAATAACGATTGCTTTCATAATATTTATACAATTTATCGCAGATTATGTGCAAATTAGATGCAGAAACGGGTTAGGTGTTTATTTTTTGCTTTTGTAATACTTCATCCATCGCGTTTAAAAAGTTATATGTATATCTGAATCTTAGTCTGTGAATATATTTTATGGATAAGAATATTTTAAGACTATTAGTAACGTTTTTTAATGTAATCTGTTTTGCACCTAGAAAGGTATAACGGTATTAGAAGCGACAAATTATTGGGTATAGTAAAACGGTATCGATTTAAAGTAATCTAACTTGTACACTTGTATATTGACTTAGAAAGTGAAATTTAATCCATAGTACGGGTGAAAGAAAAAATATTGTAGTTTCAACCTTGATCATTAGCAAAATTTTAACGGCTTGTTTGTCTTAAGCATTTCAGCCTCATTTTGTAATAACAATCGATCGATGTTAAATAGTGTTATACAAAAACTAATGTCTTCGATCCACCTTCAAAATTCATTTATACAATACAAATATTTTTTTACTTACGTTAATGCGACTCATGCGGTTTGAACAATTTATACGAAATATTAATATCTTATACATAGATACTCCTTTTGATACAGTCTAATTAGTTTTTGTATAAAACTGTAATTCTTCCTGTACTTTATTCATTTACCTGTCCATAGCACAAGCAGTTTATCCTTATTCGTTACACACCCTATGGAAGAAATTTTTTACGAGTAAAAGAAATATCTATTTCACTTATAAGATAAAGACACAGGTGATAAAAATATATTTTAATTACTTCCGTTATAAAAACAGAAACGAAGACTTTTTAATCGTCTTTAAGACGGGCGAATCTAATTACGTTTTATTAGATTTCAGAAAGCTTAGGACTCGTTTTATGATTCATTGCGATCATTCTTATTTTTGAACGAATTAACGTACATTGCAATACAGGGTTCATTCTTCTGTAATGTACGTTTTAATTCGTTTCCCTTCCAATGTACATACTATTAACTCTATACATTAATTTTTCATATTGACGATTTCGCGCCAATCCTGTAATTGAATATCCAATTCATTGTATAAAACGACAAATCAATTTTGTAAATTTAAATTAAGCCGAAGGTTTTAATTGAAACAAGTACGTGATTAGAGGTGTTGTGCAATATAAGATACTTTTCATTGTTTCTTATCATTACAGAAAAAGCCTATGAAACACATTTGTAGGAGAACGATTATATTGTGTCTTTGCTTTAATTACAATTCTTCCTTTTGATTCATATCATTTTTTGTACAAACAGAATTTAAATCATATTAATGTAGAAAATATCAATTATAAGATCATAACTTAGTTTATGGTGAAAATGAAAGGTGGATAAAATTATATATTTTCCCTTTTATAGCTTAAGTAACGAGCCGCACTTTGATTAATGAGAGTCTTCAAGTCTGAAAAAAATAATTTATTTGACTAGGATAACAAGTTCTGGAACGAAAGCATGTACATAAACTGAGTACTCGACTGTCCTTCAGTTTTCCCACAAACTAAGTGACAAAATAAAAATCTATATATTAGCGATATGACGTACGATAAAGGCGAAGCAAACAAGAAACACATTTAAAGAAGAATTGAGAATTAAGTCGTAAATAGAACCTAATTAAATGCTAAATAATATAGCTAATATACTAAGAGCACTTTGCTTGTACTGTTGCAATTCTTGACTTGCATGTGTACAGCTATGTACATTTTTATATATAATAAAACACGATCATTTTCGCGTGATCGTGTTAAAAAAAAAAAAGTAAAGTTATCGAATAAACTTGTATGTGTTCTTTTTCTATCACTGTTATGTACATATTAATAGCGTCGTATATATTTTAGTTTAAGTACAATGTTTAATTTCTAACAATTACAATACTATATTACAGAATATGAGTAAACGATGTACAGTCTGGTACGTATTTTAGGAAACAACAATATATTCAGAGCGCAGCTGATATGTATAAGACTCGTGTATTGTGAAGAATGGCAATTTTTTTACAGAATCTGACGTTATTGTACAAGCCTTGCTTATACACTGCTTATACACTGCTTTGCCCCATTGTCACGTTATCTAAATTCCTTTTTATACTCTCTAATTCGTTCATATCAGTCACAGAGGATTCGCACTTATAAACTACCAACGAATGATAGAAGTGAACGGCAAAAGCAATGAACACTACGAGGACGGGGATCACTATGATGGTACTGGCAGTCGCGGCTGTAAAAGAGTAATCCCAAAACTTTACCCAACACAGTATAGCTACTTCCACTAAAAAGAGAAACAGTCCTAACACCGTGGAAAATGCCCAAGCTAATTCTATAAATCCACGCATCCTTTCGTGCGGTGATTCTGTTACGAGCCGTGATACCTGAAGTTTACTGATGGCTTCAATATTAGGCAATAAATACGTGCTTATCATTAAAGCAAAGATATGTACTGATACTAGAACGGTCGTGCAAACGGCGAACATCACAAACAGCCACTCTGGTACTGCAGTTGGCTCGTTTATTTGTAACTCTACCATAGCCACCTGAAAGTTAAGAATAAGAAAAAAAAAAGGATAAAAAGGTGTAAAACACTAATGCCCAAGAAAAAGGCAAGTATTTCCTAGAACTTTTGTACTTTGCTTGTAGCCGTACGTGTTGCGCATAATTACAAACGCGATATCGTTCTTTACGCGTTCTTGTAAAATGTACAAGTCGTTCGACGAAATTCTGCTTTGTAATTTAAACGCCATATCGGATATTCAAAAATGAATCGCGTTAACGTCACCGCAAGATATATCCTCAAAGAAAGTGATATTTGTCTTATGTAATCATAGATGAGGTTGAAGATTACACGGAATTGTCGTCCGCGTTCATTTAATGATTTTCAGGAAACGTTGTGTAATCCCTGCTGATTTTCTGATCGTACAACCACAGATTTTCTTGGAACATTAACTCGGTAAAGAATTTCCTACAGTAAAATTTTTTAAAATTTATGCCATCGTATGTACATTTTTCATTTTATAGACAATTGATATATCGATGCATCTTCTTGTACTATTGGTATTTTTTAGTCACGCGTCAGTGTTTCTCAAACTTTACCTTTTTCGCGAAATCCTTTAAACGTACATTTTTTATAAACTTACATAAGGGCAAAACTGTTTTAAAAAATTTATAAAACCCCTTGACGAGAATAAAATATTTTCTTCGGAACGTAATACGTTTTTTTTAGCGTGAAAACTCACGGACCCCGGGGGATCCATGGATCTCAGTTTGAGAAACGCTGGATCGGCTCGTAGGACATGCTACGAAGGAACACGTATTGATTTAATGTCTGTCATCAGTATGTAAATCACACGGTCGTGGCAATATTTCATAGTATCTGATCGTCGTTATTGCAATTAATCCGCCGAATGTACGTTTACAAAAGGAAGTAAATACTTGCCATGGCAAATCCACTTAACAGTTCTGATGTTGTTGCAGTTGCTTTCAGTTTAGCTCTGCTCATGTGAAGTCTTCTCCACGAGAGGCCTTCGGGACCATCTTGATCCTCCGTGTGATGAGAGGAAGGTGTTGCTGGTACCTGTGATCCAGCGCACGTACAGCAGCATGTGTACGGCACGTTGGTTCCCGGTATATGGCTGTTCGAATAGGGACTCGAAAACGGAAGACTGCTCATTGATCTCATATCTAAGGCTACATAACGATTGTGCCTGTTTCTAGGCGATAAAGCTAATTCGCTGTGAGACGGTGATAGCGTGCTCTTTGAATTGTAGAAGGAGTAGCTAGAATCGCTTGTCTGCGCCTGCTTCGTCGCGTAAGCCACAGAAGTCGGCCTCGTCCTTTGACTACCCAAAGCGAATTGACTAACATCAATCTGGGTATACTTGTTCAACTTTCCCGGTATCTCCTCGGTACTTTTGTGCGCGGAGAAGGTATTCCTTCTCCCAAACTTCTCATTCGTTGCTCTTTCATCATAATTATTACCACTGTTCCTGTTTGTAGTATCCTTATCGACGACCGATCCGTGATTATTGTTCGACATGGTGCCCTTTTTACGTATCCTGTTTCTTTCTAATTTCCGCGACACCGGAACACCGACGCCTGTTGCCAAGTCTCACCCTACGTCATCGATGCACCTCCGGCTGCAAGAAGAGTCAAAGAATCGTGCCACGGTTTTCATCAACATTCAATGTTATCATTGTTCCCTTCCCAACGGATCCAGTCACTGCAGCCATACGTTTACACAATCACAGCTGCGATTATCATATACGCTCTTGCCACTGCGTTCCATGTCTTCTGTCTGTTAGTTCAAAAAACGATACTGTGATTTTTTTATTAATAAAGAGAAATGAAATCGGGGAATATGAGAAACACACTTATCGGTTTTATACTCTGCAGGCAGAATCAACGACACAGAGCGCATTTCTCAGGACGGTTCCTCGGAGCCACTGAACGGACGTGGAATGGTGCACCGTTTCGTACAAGAGTCTCCCGGACGGAAACGGAGTATCTGCAAGTCTCGGTGGTAGAACACTGACCGAAGGCTGGCATCGCATCGTCGCGAAACACACATGACGTACCCGTTTGAATCATAACAATAGTATTAATTGCCTTCAAGCCATATCGGCTACATAATAACCGACTATGTGGCCTTAACGTTCGTGTGCGCTACCGATTCTCTGTGTGTGCACGTCTCTCCTCTCTCACGCGTTTACTGAAAGACGCGTCCGCGGCCAATGACGTTTCTTTTCTGGCCTTTGCAGCGAGATAAGGTAATCGCGGGGAACGATCTGGCCAAGTATCCAGACATCGCAAGAATGCAATCAATTTACGATTAAAGGGAAATCCCATCGAGCGGCTCTCACTTTTACCGTGCGTATTTTTCTATTCTTTTTTTTTTTTTTGTTTCAACCACGCTCGAATTTTTGCGTTTGTCAATTTGGACAATCAACGATCTGGTTGGAAGATTTGTTACGATGAATCATAACACGTGCTATGCGCTGATTCAGCGATGATTTTCTATTTTTTGCCTGTACGAACAATGTTTCGCATCAGAATATTCTGTTGGCATATTTAGTATATAATTGAAAGCATTGAATAAAATTACTGTAAATATACCGGTAATTATTCAACGCGAAGCTTAATTACAATATCCATTAGATGAGTCTTGAAAAGTTGTTCGTCTTAAACGCTAACCCAGACTCTACCACCCTTGGTTGTTGGAAAATGCATGATTTTGAGGTAACACGTGGAAACTGAAAATCCTAGAATGTTCAATCTGGCTTTGGAAGATAGAGGATAGTTTCCTGAATATATTTACCGCGTGTGTCGTAACAAAATATTGCGAATGGCTAGTGGAATTAAAAAGACGGATACAATACGCATACTTTTTACGCGTTACTTTCACGTTTTGTCGAAAAGTTTTTTCTCTAGCACGAATTTGCTGTACATTGTCGGTTTCTATAGTCATTTCTGTAGAGGAAACCACAGAGAAAGTGTCTAAATGGTTTGTAATTCGAACAGATCGAGAAAAGATCAGTTTGGAACTTTGAAGCGAGTCGGACGGTGTTTTGCCGCCATGCGGCCATCGCTCGTTTGCCTCGACTCAGTGCCGTAGCTACGTTTAATCGACGCCAATAGTAGGTATCGTCCAATCGAAACTCACTTTCTATCTGTATAATTAAGAAGAACTGATTGCTTTCAAAGGACTCAGTATCTAGGAAACTTTGTTCTATCTTACAAGACAAAATTGAACTATCTAGCTTTATATTTTTCAGAAACTGAGGGCGATAGAGGAATTTTCTGTTTTTTAATTTGACATGTGGATATCGTAGAATACGAAATGTGGTTTTATTTGCTGAACATTGGTAACACCGGTCGAAATGTATTTGAATTCGTCTACATTTTTTAGCCTTAATGGTCAATGTGGAACAATTGGAATTAGCATTGCGATATTTGTATTAGGAGTTTAACGTGTAAGGTTGACGTATTTTTCTTCAATAAATATTGAACGTAGTGCTCATATTTATGTTATCGTGAGCTCGTAAATTACAACTCCGGGATCACACTGAGGCCTGCGCTTTGCGTTTACAAGTGACACAAGTATTTTCTTCGTGTGCCCGTACGCAGATAAGTGGTTCGCGATGCGCGTGGGAGACATTGAAATGCTCGGGAATCACCGACGGAAAAACCGTTTTCGTTCGTAACCGCATGGCAGAGGAGGAACAACAACGTTATTTACGAAAGACCGGCCACTCTGACTGCCGCAAAGCGTTGCTTCGTGTCACGTTATCGTAGGGATGGCGAAGCGTGCGTTAATTATTGCGCCCATGTGTTAAAACTTTATTTTTGAAACTCTAATCTTTTTGCTACGCGCAATAAAAAACATATCGGATCTGGTTACTCAGCAACGCAAAGACGTCTGGTAACATATGTATAAACGCGTCTTTTCAACGTCATTAGTCAAAACGACAAAGGTCTTTAAGACGTCATATCTTGGTTACTGAGCGATTAACTTTGTCAATTTCTGAAAAATGTATTACCACTACAGATTTCTAAGTAGCGCAGAAATCGTTTGTACATACAGTATGTAATTGTAATGTGAGATAACTCTTTTGTATCTTCTTTCGTAAAATACTCTCTCGAATGAATTGGAAGCTATTGAAACGCAGTGTAAAAACAATTGCGTAGTGCAAAAGGTTAACTAATGGCGCACAGTGTTATTGCATTCGGTATACTATGATACGACTGAAGAACGCTTGGTACATCGGAATACACTATACTACTCAACCATATTTGTTTGAACAAAATGTTAATGTTTCTTAAATTTGAAACGCGAAAAGGATTTTGTTTCTAATTTGGTCTCGTGCCTCTAATTGTATCGCGTGCCATCTTTGGCGCGCGTGCCGCACGTTCGCCACCCTGGCCGTTATCGGGTTTTACACGTGCGAGCAAACGGATAATGTTTGCCGTTGTAATGCGCACCACAATTGTACTTGTTACACTTGCTCCATCCATGAAAAGTCTTTCATGTCTGACAGTCGGTTCGCGTGTTTAAACATGCACCGTCTCCGAACACATTTATCTATCTTTGTTTGTATTGTGTGCAACAGGAGACCGACTAGGCAGAATGGGTGGCAAGGAGCCGTGCGAATGTGTGTCATCGAGGATTTACAGGAAAAGTTTTATCGCGCCGCGCCTCATTTGCATATGTAATTGTACAGACAATTTAGTAGGAATTGTGTATCCACGGTAACGTCGCAAAACAAGCAGAAGCATTTTCACCTGCCTCGGAAATTGATCTTTGTTAATATTACGTGAATTGTCGCGCGAAATTAGAGTATCTCGAGTTACCTTGATGCAGCTGCGCCGCAGAGAACTAGGAATTCGAGACTGAGATCTAAATAAAAGGAAGATAACGAGACAGAGAAAGTTTCTCTTTTCCTTTCACAGCTGAACTGGTTTTAAGTTAAAGTCGAAACTGTACGCGTAGAATAACGCTATTTTTCGATTGTCTGCAACGGATCTAAAATATATACGGTTATAAAGAAAAAAATAATGTTATGTAAACATAGATTAACTGTGTTTACTTTCTGTGGTCGTCAAAAGTAGCACAATGTTCTTGGTACTCGTAGAAGCAACTAATACTCCATTTCAAAATGTTTAATGTTTTTTGAAATCTATTAATATTAAAGAATGATACACATTTTTGTTCTTTAGCAAATAAACCAATTAACGGTACGTATAATGTAAAATTCCCATAGTTTTCACAACGTTAACGGTGCTTGCGCCTGTAGCAATGCAACGCGCGATTTGTTTGCATCTTCGCTTAACAGGTTGCATATTTTGCAGTTTAATCATACTTACTCTCCGATCGGATAAAATATTTCGTAAACAGTTCTCAAAGCATCGTACGCATATCGTATTAATTAATGTGTCGTTCCTAAGAGCATAACATAGCCGCATTAATATTTGTCGGCTAGAGTTATTTGTGAGAACGTTCCAGACATTTGTTGAAACATCTTGTAGCAACTGAGCAAGCGCAAGCGCAAACCTCTCCGTAACGTGTAACTCCTGCATAGTTTAAAGGTCTGGAGTATACTGCGTGTTTGGTTAACCAGAGCTAGCGAAATGTCTGCCTGTTGTGCAGTTTCATAATTTGTGCGTTCGTCCGAGCCTTGTATATATTCTAAGTGTGCAAAGAGAGAATTTAACAGACTGTTCGTCGTGTAATATTCGTTAAAGTCGCACACGCGCAACGGTTTGCTCGCAGCGATCAAGTGGGGAAACAATAACAAACAATGGCGCAGGGCTCTGTATGATCTTTCTCGAAGTGTGTATCGGGTCGGACATTGTAAAGCGTATCGCGGATAAACGTATCGCCGTGTAACAGTCCAGATTTTCTTCGTGAACATTTACGTATCGTTTCGCCTAAGCGTGACGTATTTTCCGATCGAGTTGTATCGAGCGGAGCAACGGAGGTTAGCGTCTGGCATACGGTTCAAGGATTCAAATCGTATGACGACCGACTGTTTCGAGACGCGTTTATCACGCGCCTGTTCTTTTTCTCCGAGGCTTGTGCCAAAAGACGTACGTTGCGCAACATAAATACGTTTGTGACATTCTTTGGGAAGTATTGTTTGCCGCAACGCTAATTCGGAGTCCAAGTGGAACGGTCTCTTGAGTTCTTGGTAACTCTAAATGACAGTAGGCACCTCATTATTTACAAATTTCACGTATTGATTTAAGAAAAAAGATAAACAAGATACTCTATGAAAGATAACATTACTGTTGCTAAGAATTTTGGTCTAATTTTGCACACATTGCATTTACATAAGTAGTCGGAACTTGTAATTACATAAGTAAACTTATTGCGTTAAAGCCATTGAGACCATATTATCGGAACTGATATTATCGGTCTAGCATTGTTTCTGACTATGGTAACATTGACCATGCAGCGCGAAATGTATTCTCTTTCGAATCAGACTGCAATGGGAGGAGTGAATCTTCATACGCCTCCGTCGATATTTCAACATATGATGGGACAGCAGAATGTTCCCCAACAGCCTGCAATGTGGATGCAAATGCCACAAGTACCTCCAATGACAATACCATGGAGCGTGCCCTCCTTAAACCAACAAGAATTAGTCAGATTTACTGGTGAGCAGAGTTTTAAACCGATCATCCATCAGAAAAGAAAACTAGAAGCTGTTGATTTATTAGACGCGTAAGTAATTTAATAGTATGTAATAAAATATTGCGGAAAGGATCTTTACCTTTGTAAATAGCCTCTAATAAATAATTACTGTATTACAGAAGGCAGACAAAACAATTTATAACGGAAGACAAAATGACTGCTCATTTCAAAGAATTGCATATCAGTCCAAATTATCAGCCGTCGTCGCCGGTACCGTCAACGTCAACGGCTGATTCGCAGTCAGCTTCTGCCAGAGAACTAAATATGGATCTGGACATAGGTGCAACGAGTACGGTAGACGCGGATCGAATAAAATCTGGACATTGCAGATTGGTGCTTTCGGAGGAATTGAAGAAATTGCAACCAGAACCTCTTCTTCCATCTTCGTTGTTGTCTAAATTGTAAGCAGAGAAGTCTATTTTCATAAAAAAAATGCATATGCAGTAAAATTCCGATTATCCGAATTACCCTGCATTACGATATCGTTGCTTGTAAAAATGAAGAAGATTAAGCTTTACAGTTTTTCCCTTTCAGGGAGAGGCCCTCCATGGCTCTAGTTCTTTGGGAACCGCCGTGCAAACACCTTCGCATTTTTCCAACGAGAGACCTGGCTACTACCACCCCCAATGCGTCCGACGACAACAACAATAATAACAATAATAATAACGATGCCATTCCCGACTTGAATCAAACGTTATCGAGTAACGCGTCAGTTTACGAGCCGATGGAATTATGAAGGTAATTTGTCAGCAAGTTTCTTATTTCTGTATATTGCTGGACGACGGGGTAAATGATATTGTATTCTAAAATGTACGTAGATTATGAGGAGGGTGGGAAGATATGTCATGCCTTTTATTTTTTATCCAATATGCTTTGTGTAATATTTTGTGAAGTAACGAAGGTATAAAGCCTTTTTTTTTTATTGGGCGAATACACTCTATATCGGGTAGTTAATTATGCAGTGAGAATCTGTTGCTGTTATGTTTTAAGTTGGAATGTATTTGTTGCGTTTCGCAAAGTGTGTAACCACTTTAATACGTTCACGCCGGGATGAACTACTGTGGACTTTTGTCTGATTTTTTGTTAAAAAAATTAGGAAAAAAGTTCGTAAATTCGGGAATAACAATGTCCGTTTTTGTTTCGAGTATCTTGTATTAACAAAAAAAAAAATACACCGATTGGACAAACGACTTCGTTCTGGTGGAAGGAAGTACAAAGTAATAGAGCCGCCCATCGTGAGTGTATTAACTGAGTAAGCGTAAACTGGTTATTATAAATTATATATAATTATAATTTGTGCGTGTAAACTGGTTGAAAGGAAAAATGTGTCTTTAGCAAATGCGTTCAGAAGTTTAATATTGAATTCAGTATTATTGTAATTATCATCGTTAACGTGTTAAAAAAGTGTCACGTCGATACTGTTCGTGACATTACTGTTTGATCTGTACAAAGTTTGTATCCATCATTTATTTCGTTGTGATTGAAATTCTAGTGTAATACGAATGCTATGTTAAAATTGGAATGCACAAGGAAAGAAAAGTGATTTTTACCGAGGTAGTTTTTATTTCTACACTGTATGTGCACAATTTAATATTAAGTCCAATATATGAATTCGATTTGCTGTATGATCGATCGTTATAGCAATAGTTTGTCATGATCAATGCGTTCTGTATGTGTGACGATTTTGCATAAAACATGACAACGTTACATTAACATAGAGTTTTTCATTTATTCATGATCGATGGAAAGTACAGAAAAATAATACGCTTTGCTAAGAAACGAGAAATATAATTTAGTTTCTCACGATATGCCCTTCTTGTATATTAAGCTTTCAGAGGGTCCAAGACGCAGATGTTCTTTAAACGTTTCCTCGTCTTCTAGAGGTTCACCGTTGATCGCTGCTGCAATTTTCGGGTTATCCAGCATCGTGACATGGTCGCCTTCGATTGTGTGTACAATTACCTTTCCATAAGTTAACTGAAAAAAAAACAGATGAGAGATTTTTCATAGGAAAATAATGAAACGCTAATATAATAACGCGTGCATTACCTTGCTCAGTCCGTAAGTTGGCTCCATCGGTACAAGCGACGTTGTTGGTTTCAGTAACGTGATAGGTGTTCTAAGAGGTTGCATAGAGTCACAGTCATAGATGTCTACAGCGCATTGACGTTTATACAGGAACGTAGCAATTGCTTTTTGAGCCTCAGGAGAGTAAATTTCTTTAATTTCAGGGGGTGCATGGGTCACTAATTTGTCTAACTTTTCTTCCCAAGTGCTGCATTTGCTCAATTCCATTTTGAGCTGAAAAAATATATACGTACGTCAGTCACGCGAAAGATCTTTGGGAAAATATTTCACTCAAAGAAAATAGCTCACCTCTGCGATGGTAGCCGACTTGGCGACGGCCAATATGCCAATTAGAAGATTGTTTTCGAAGTCTGCGATCGAAGTTGCAAAACCATGCTTAAGCGTTAATGCTTTCATGTAATCGGGCGATCCGTCGATCAGTAGAAGTTTACCAACGAAGGCATGAGCTTCTAATCTCCTAACGAGCTCGATAGCTATCATCGATCCGAACGAGTAACCCACGATAACGAAGTCACTTCGGTGTTTACTCCTTTCTAAAACATACTGGAGGAAGGTGGAATTGTATTACTCGTTTAGAGAGACTTAAGTCGTCGGTAGTTTTAGTGTTAGTATCATGTGAAAAATTGTTGTTTTAGATATGCACAGGCAAAAGACGATCGGCCATTTCCTCCACGGTCAGTCCCGTATCGTACGTTCCCATCTGTAAACAGGTGGCGGGGACCTTTAATTTCGGCACTAACGAATCGAAGACCACAGCGGCTCCTTCGATGCCCGGTATGAGGAATACTTCGTTCTTTTTTTCGTCAGTTTTCGCGGAAAGTTCTACGCAATAATTGGTTTCCAACATCGACACATTCACTGTTAGCAACAACAGCTCCATGCCGGTCAAGTTTTCCGTTCTGACGACAGTTTTCGCGGCCTGTGTTTTTGGTTTCTTGGAGCCTTTCGCGGACATCTCCACAAGCTTGGCTACGTTTAGGGTTCGTATATCCTGCGGAGTTAGGAACACCTCGAAGTCTCGCTCCAACATTTGTTTTATTTCCACAGCCATCATGGAGTCCATTCCAAGTTCGGCTAACGTCGCATTCTGACTGACGCCCTTAAGATCCTTTATACCTGCGTTAGAAAAAAAAGTTACAGACTAGACAAGATCGTATCGAATGTTCCTACTTTAGTTTAAACAAAACATAACAAATGTATAGTGTCTCTTATCTTGTCTCTGATTGTAGGTAATAGTTAAGAATGATACTGACTCATAATGTTCAGTACTGCCTCAAGAACGTTGCTAGCTTCGCTGGCGCTAGGGCGTTTCTCCGCCACGACCATGCTAGAGACTATCGGTCGGCTTTGCGTCAGGAATTTCTCCAGCTCCTCCAGACACGACGATATCATCTGCTGCAGGGTTCCACCGACCACCAGTTGTTGTTTGTTCTCCAACATCGCGGCAGCTAGACCAACCTCTCCCACGGCTCCCCATTGTATCGCCATGCCCGGTAAGCCTTCTTCCACCCTCCTCTCGCAAATCCTCTCCAGGACCGCATTGCCCATGCCGTAATTCGTCTGTCCCGGGCTACCTCTTCCGCAAGAAAGCGAAGAGAACACTACGAAGTGACGGAGTTTCGGGCAAATCTTCCTCGAAACCTCGTCCAGCTTCTTGGTGATTCCTGCCTTGGGTTTCATGCTCTCTTCGAAGTTCTGCTCGGTTTGGTTCGCGCAGAGGCAGTCCTTCAACAGCGCCGCGAGGTTGAAGATGCCGTCCACCGGGGCCTGCTTCTCCGCGGACTTTAAGATGAATTCGCAGTCGTTGGTCTGAGACGCGTCCACGCCGGAAATGATCAGCACCTTCACGCCGTACGATTTCCACGTTTCTACCCTCATCCGTTGATAGCCGTCCTTCACGCCGGTACGCGAGATTATCACCAAATTCTTGGCGCCGTGAAGCACCAACCAGTCGGAAAGCTCCAGTCCCAGTCCGCCCAAGCCACCGACGATCACGTAGCTTTTGTTTGGCATGGCGTGGAACCGCGGGCAGGCGAGTACCGGTGTGTTGAACGGCTCATTTTCGTCGGCTATTTTGATGAGAACCTGCGGGCAATAGTTCACCATTCATCCGAATATAATATAAAGGACAGAAGACAACGTTTTTCTACTTGGCTGTTATAAAATATTGACACTTATCGATGTTTCTTTGCAGGTACCCACCTTTCCTATATGCTTGCCGGCTGCCATATACCTGAACGCAGACTCTACCTCGTTCTTCCCAAAGCATTTCCTGACCAATGGCTTCAAAACTATCGTTTTCATACGCTCGTTGACTAAATCAAACATTTCTTTTTGAAAGTCAAGGTTTAGGCCATTGATCAAACTGTCCAGCATCACCCCGTGGAAACTGACTTCCTTCAAAAACACTTCCATTCCTAGTTTCTTGTTCAGGGACAGGTCGAATTTACCGATTTCCAGGAAACGACCCCGGTAGCCCAAGCAACGAATTGACGCTTGGAGTTTGTCCTCCGACAATGAATTCAGGACTACGTCGACCCCCTCGCCGTTGGTCTGTTTCATCACCAACTGTTCGAAGCTGGTGTCCCGAGAGTTGCCAATGTGGTCGTCGTCGATGCTGGGGAACATCTCTTTGATGAATTGTCTTTTCTCCGGCGTTCCGACGGTGGTGAAGACCTCGCAGTCTTCGGCGAGGGCTATGTTGATCGCGGCTTGGCCGACACCACCGCTGCCAGCGTGGATCAGGACCTTCTCGCCCCTCTTTAGCTTCCCGAAAACGTAGAAGGCATAAATGACGGTGAAGTATGCGCAGGGAACCGTTGCTGCGTCCTCCAAGGACCATTCGTCCGGCACTGACCACAAGGTGTAATAGCTTGGGACGACAAAGTTTGACACAGCCCTGAAGAACAAATCGACCAAATTAGATTCTCAAACGTGTCTTCGTTACTTATAACCCAGACTTGCCTGCTCTTAGTGAATCCCATCACACGATGGCCGTTGGTGTCTATTCCACTGAACTCGTATCCGATTAAGCAGTCCTTCAACTCTCTCACTTTTGTTATAGACTCTGGCATCAGCTTACCAGTGGCCAACATCACGTCTCTGAAATTTAAGGCGGAGTACACTACTTTAACAAGATCCTTGCTATTTATGTCAGGCTGGATCGAGCCCTGCATCCATTCCAAAGAGCTCAAATCTCCCCTGACCTGTGGAAAAATTCAACATCAATTTTTAAGTAATAATTTAACATTAACTGTTTGTACAGGGTGTTCGGCTACCCCTGGGAGAAATTTTAATGGGAGATTCTAGAGGTCGAGATAAGACGAGAATCAAGAATACCAATTTGTTGATCGTGGCTTCGTTAAAAAGTTATCAACGGTTAAAGTTAATTTGGTATTCTTGATTTTCATCTTATTTTGGCCTCTAGAATCTCCAATTAAAATTTTTTCCCAGGAGTAGTCAAACACCCTGTATATTAAAGCATAAGTATAAGTATATAGCCACCCTTATGTTCACATAGCCATGGGGAACTGGAACATGCTTCAACGGTGGTAAAGGCAAATGTCTGTACGTGCCCCAAACTCTTCCAGGCCGTAGAATATTAATTCCAATATCGATGTCAAGCTGCTTGACGAAGAACGGATCGTTCAGCGAAAACTTGGGACCATTCTCATCCTGAATGATCACGGTCTTTACAATGTCACCGTTCAGCTCCCTCATCAGACATTTGTACAGACCCAGAGTGCCATTTTCCAAGTCACCCTCGGCGACCAAGACCAATCTCACGTCCCTCTCGCTACTCTTCTTTTCTTCTTCTTTTTTCAATACTTCCTTCACTTTGTTCAGCCAGCTGAACTCGTTATTGTTCAAGTATACGACTTCCGTTTTTGATGGGGGAGTTTCCTTCTTTTTCAGAAGCAATAGCGCATGGTCCCCAAGGCTCTTCTCCAACACAACGTTCAGCCTGCACTTCTCCAAGTAGGCGTAAGTATCGTTGTCGACCGTTGCCTCTCGAGTCAATATGAAACCGTGATCATTGGTCGCGAGCAGTAGTCGATTCAGAGAGTCCTGTTTCTTCTTCGTAAAAATGTCGTAGGCGGCTGCCATGAAGACAGTTCCATCTTCCGGTAATTTGTTCGGTTCCACCGTGGTGACGGTCTCGGGAAAAGATAATGTCTTATAACGTTCGGATTCCGCGGCAAGTACCACGCTTGCACGAATCAACGGTAAGTCCCCGAGCACGCGAATGAACGTGGGAGTGAGAATCTCCTCGGTGGAGACGCTGTCCTCGGGATCGATCAGCTCGAGGATCTTCGGGTTGGTCAGCGTATAGTTTTCTAGCGCCAGGTGAGTCGACAACACGATCATTTCGTTCGGCGTGGTTTGAGCTTTATCGCGATTGGCCACGAACTTGTATTCCTCTAAAACTGGCGCCCCCATTGTCTTTCGTCGTTGAATGGCATTCGCTTTCAGACCGCGAATCTCTATGCCTCCGGATATTATTGCGTCGTAATCTTTGTACATGAACACTGGTATATCTATAAAAGAAATCGATAAAATATTTAACAAATATACCAATTTTTAGGAACTGCAAAATAATAATTTAATATTACACGACACGTAAAATAAATAATTAATCTAGCTTAAAATTGTTTCTTCCGAGACTAGGATTTCCAGAAAATCGGGTTTAACAATCCGCTGTTTACGTTTGCATTTACATACATAGTTAAGTATGTCTACTACGGTAGGAACATTGGCATTCTCGATCAATTAACGCACGTCATTAATTACGCATCCGTTGAAAGACCTTAGCGAGTATACATAAATCGGTAATTTATTGGGCACAGTTTTGCAATTACAGTAGCAAGAAACACTGTTTCCACAATTTCAATAACGTAAAGGTCACGCAAACTCAATAGTTCAATTGTTTGAAAATTGAGAAAAATTTGATCGAGGCTTCGTTAAAATGTTATTAAAAAAATAAATTAAAAAGTTTCAAATCATTCTGAAAAAATTATTTTTGGTTGCGGGGGTCAATTACAATCATTTTTGGTGAACAGACATAACGTACCGATATCCTCGTTGAAATTTCGAATCTTATTGTTGTGAGTTTTAACGTCTATCGTCAACTTCTGTATCGCTGTCGGCACGTATAGAGATCTGGTATCCAGTCCGATCAATTTGATTTGCAACATATTGTCCATAAAAGCAGCCCAGTTCTTCATCCACGTGATAGAACCCTTGGAACCACTCAACGACGAGCTCTTTATCGCACGGAACGGTCCGCTGTATTCGTAGCCACGCAGTTTAAACTCCTTGTAGACGTCTTTGGTGGTCAGAGGTTCCTCGTCGTCGATCTCTGGCAACAACTTGGGAGAGATCATCTCTTGCGCGCAATTAGTCACTTTGCGTATCACTCCTGTTACCACGGTCGAAGATCCCTCGGATATTTCGAAATTTCCAGAACCTGAAAGTATTGTAAATATCAATGTTAATAACATAAAACCATTATTAGTTTCCAGGTTCTGGATACCGGTGAATTTACCTCTGTGAACCATCACTGTCAACTTAACGATACCGTCCTTGTTGATAGTAGTCGCGCGTTCAAACCTTATGTCCTCCATTACGACCGATACCTCATCGCAGAGCTTCCCCTCTAACATACTGACAGTTTCCCACACCAAGATCAGGTACCCAGTAGCTGGAACTAAACATCTTCCATCGATTACATGGTGGGCCATGTATTCGTAAAGCTCGTCGTTAAGATCGACCTCGACGATCCTCTCCGACGTGGTTATCTTCAGACGTTGCGAATACATTGGCACGAACCAATCGTCGGAGTGTTCCCACCTGAAAAATTCTCCCATTCGAGTCTCTTCGACAAAAGTTGTTGTTTACAATCTAGTAAAAGCTTGGACCATTAGTCTGGGCTCACCTTATGTTAGGAGAGATCATGGGAGTGCCGCGACTGACAGGATATTGAACGTGTGGGTAGATATTCGCAACCTGCGGTTGCAAACCAACGTTGTACAATTTTCCTAAAGCTTGGATGAAGAACTCGACATTGTTTTTGTGACCCCGTTGAGTCAACGGTACGTTCGACACGTCGGGGCCCAAAGACCTCTTCAAGATGGCCTGTAAGAGACCGTGAGGAGCGATCTCGATGGCTATCGCGTTCGCGGGTATCATGGTCGCAGTCTCCGCGAATAGCACAGAGTTCAACAAATTGTTCGTGTGGTATTCGGCGGACGAGTACTTGGCGGCCGGTGTCGACCATTGACTCTCTGGCACCGACGTGCTCAGCCACTTGGAACTTCGCGGTTTCGGTTTCGGTATCACTTTCTTCAAGTACGCCAAGAGCTTCGGGCCTGCATCCGCGATGTAGCGACTGTGGTAGGCGATGTTGCTGCAAGGAACTTCTTTCGCAAAGATCTTGTTGGCCTGGAACGTTTGATTTTTCGTTTAGACGGACTGAACGGGAACCGTAGAGATTGGCAACGTACCTGCAACTTGGCTACAAACTCTTTCATGGACTCCGCGGGACCACTGATAGTGGTACTGTCGGAACTATTGTGGCACGCCACTTCGATGTCCGGTGGACACATGCCCTTAATTTCATCGTAGCCAAGACCAATCGCCGCCATGGATCCGCGGATCATTTTCGTCTCGATCGACGCCAGGCCTCTGGAATACGCCGAGAGGACCATTTGCTCGGCGGTGAAGCATCCATCGGCATAGGCGCAGCCAAGTTCGCCCACCGAATGGCCAATGATATTGTCGGGTTCTATGCCCACGGATGTCAGCATATCGACCAGACCAATCTATACAATTATTATTATCTATTACGATCGCGTCAGGTTGCAATTAACTGATTTGATAATTTTTCATCCGCAGAACGATGGATCCAAAGTTGACGAGCGTCACCTGAATCGCAGCAATTCCAACGAAGGAGTTTAAAATATTGTCGAAGGTCTTCTTGTCTTTGCTCGTGATGATGTCAACGATATCAACGCCGTGCGGCTTCAAAACCGCGTCGCATTTCTGTATCGCCTTGGCGAAGACGGGGAACCTCATCAGCGACTCGCCTAACGTGTTCAGATATTCAATTAGAATCTCCGATTCCAAACTCTTGGAATGAAATAAAAATGTAGACGTTTTATAGATACCCATGCCAACCCATTGCGATCCCATTCCAGAGAATACGAACCAAATCGGCCTCTTGATGCCCGAGTACTCTTGAATCTCCTTCGGCGGCGTTTCGGATGTTTTAGAACCGACGATAACGTAACCCCTGAACAAGTGACCAGCTATACTTTCGGAATGAATATCTTGCAACAGCCGTATGTATTCTACATCCACCGGTATACTTTCCACCTGTACGATATGCAATATTTTGTATAAGAAGAATGATCAGAAAATTTCTATAGGAATTGTCAATAGCGTTACTTACGGAGTGTAAAAGGGTTTCGACAGCCTCTTCCGTACGACCAGACCCAGTCACGATCCTGGGCAAATCGTCGGAAGGCGCCCCGTTGTTCACTTTCTCTTTCGTGTACGCTTTCAGTAAAACGTGGGCGTTTGCACCACCGAAACCAAAAGAGTTTATTCCGATGTAGCCACCCTTCCACGGTGTTGGTTCCGTGACCACACGAACCTTCCCCTCTTCGAAACATTTCATGCCCTTCATGGGACTTTTGAAGTGCAGATTCGGCGGGAGCAAACCGGTCTCCATCGCGATGATTATCTTGGAAAATGTTCAGAGTTCGATATTTACTTCGCAATATTTAAGGCAAAATTGAGGCGATCAAGCGTCCATGATTATTAAAAGCTCACCTTGGCGATCGAGCAGACGCCGCTGGCAGGTTCGGAGTGTCCCAAATTCGATTTGATAGAACCAATCCAAAGGGGCGAGGTTCGATCCTTGCAGAATACCTTGTCGATGGCGTTGAGTTCCTCGGGATCGCCGACGCTGGTTCCTGTTCCGTGGGCCTCCAAGAAGGACAGGCAGGTCGGTGAGAGTTTGCACTCTTGGTAGAATTCCTCCAAAAGCTTCCTCTGTATCGCGCTGGCGGGGAACGTGATACCCTGCTCCTTGTAACCGTCGCAATTCGACTTTGTGTAGACCACCGTCGCGTAAATTCTTTTCGCGTCCTTCGCCTTTTGCAACAGGATCACGCTCACGGCTTCGCTGCGCACGTAACCGTTGGCTCGAGCATCGAAGGACTTGCAGCGACAGTCCGTGGACAGCACGCCTGTAATCGGAGTAGTTTTACTGTTCTGGTAAACGGGTAACTAACTTGGCATTAAGGAATTTTAATAATGTCTTTTCTTCGCGTTCAGTTTTGATCTGTCTAACGTGTGCTTTATCTGTTCCCAACTAGGTAGAACTCAAAAAGCTATTTATTACCAAGTCGCGCGAATTGGAGCGACACGTAGGGATGAAGACAGAGATTCGAGCCTCCGACGATTACTTTGTCGCATATCCCCGTTCGTATCATTCTGTAGGCCTGGTCCATGGCCACCAAGCTGGAACTGCAAGCTGTGTCCATCGAGTACGACGGACCGTGCAGATTCAGGAAGTAAGAAATCCTGTTGGCCAACATGGCTCTGCTGCAGCCAGTGATACCAAAGCCGTTCGCCTTAAACGCAAATACAGTTTTAAAGTAAAGGAAAGTAAAGAGGTTTGATTATGTTCTGTGTCGCGTGCGTTCAACCTGTAATTTTTCGTAGAACCAGGTCTTCTCCGACTCGCTGATACAAGAGCCAATGACAACACCTGTGTTGCTTCCTCGTAAGTCTTTCGGATTTATTCCTGCGTCGATGATCGCTTCGTAAGTGTGCTCCAACAGCATCCTGCACATTGGATCCAGTGTATGGGCTTGCTTGTAATGGACACCGAAGAAAAGCGCGTCGAACTTGCCCAAGTTCGTCACCTTCCCGCCGTCCCTTGGAATTTCCGCGTGATCTGTCCAAATTATAAACTTTCATTCCCTATTTCCTATACATAGAAGTAGCTTTTGCAGTATCAGTAGGCTTTAGTAGGTTTTAATGTAAACACGAACATGTTTTTTTCAAACTTGGTCGTCGGTCGTACTCGATAGGGGAATATATAATTTAAATTGTGAGTCACCAGCTCTTTACGTTTGTGTACGTGTTTAACAAAGGTCTGTGTGTCACTTTCTCCTCCTTGCATATCGCATAATTCACGATCGGCAGTTGTTATGCGCATTCGAGGCGAGGAAAGTTTATTAAAATTTACAAGAAATTTGAAAATCTATTACAGTTTGCAAGAAACTTCCGTGACGTAAATCACAGCTCGAATCCATTAAATGCTTTCCATATGTCTGTTAATGTTACGTTTCAATTCTACAAAATATTAATTGCCGTTTCTATAAAATTTTAGAACAATCCTCTGCCTTGGAAAGATTATCGAAAATGTACTTTCAACACGTGTAACTAAATAATTTGACCGTTCACTGTAGTATAAGGGATCTCTTAATCTACATCAAAATCCGAAAGAATCACCTAGCCTCCATCGCGAATAGTTATCAGTGATGAGGTCCACTTTGTTCATCAGATTTTCCTTCAGCTGTGCCACATTCTCGCTCAATGGGAATCTGCCAGCAATTCCTGAGATTACCACTTCCTCCCCAGGCGGTGGTGAAGCGTAATTCACCTTCGTTGGCTCTATTTCCATGTTGTAAGATCTCTTCTTCCCCTCCTTCAGGAAATTCTTCTACCTTCTTCTTTTTCTTCTTCTTCTTCGATTGGCGTTAAATTTTCTCGACTGTCTTGTACTTGAGTACTCGACGCAGAACGATCACGAAACAACGAAACTTCTGGCTGAGTGTTTTCGGGAGAATAATTGATCAGTAGTCACAAACCATTAGTATTGAAACCACTCACGCAACTGAAGAATGAAGGAAACGAACAAGGACTTCTTATAACAACGTTATCCCCCACTATCAGGGGTGGCAGTGATAGTGATGTCGGTTCCCTCTCTGGAGACCCCCTGAATATTCCCGAAGGTGATCTGCATAGTAATCCTCGTTTGAAACGGCGTATGAAAATTCATCGGTTAAATTCGTTCCCGAAATTGTTGGTATTAAGAACTATCGTTAAAATACTTTCGAATTGTTTATAGATTTTTCTTTTTCCTACCTAATTCTAAATAAAATAAAAAATATGGTTGGTCTGAAAAAGCTGTTTCCACGCGGTCTTGGATGACAAATATGTTTTTCCCTTGCAATGAAGCATTCATTCGGTGTCTAAGCAATTGATACATACACCACAACTTAAAAAATTTAAGTTGCAACAGTTATGATAATAGGGAGAAATCAGATGAATTACGAATATGATTGCGGTACAATCAAACCAATTAATGTATCATGGATCAAAGATCATTAAATAATTCATTAATCATTAATCGTAGAATGATTACATTTTTGATTATGATTCAATTTATAAGTTGATAATGGGATGTCAACCCGCACAATTCCGCACAACTTAGTAGCATAGGTAGAATCATGGTGCTAGTGGGTTAATAATGGTAATCGACGTTATTTCAGAAAATATATATTTATTGAATAGGCGAAAATGATAATGAATTAATTATACATTGAAAATTAATCGATTATGAAACAGATACAGAAGTACATTATTAATGATTAATAGGATTACCAAAAAATGAGTTACTGCCTAATTATGGTATAAAGTCAAAAAGAATATTTTTACAGAAATTTGTTCGCTTCGTTTAATATAATCTCTGACGTAGCATCTGTTTACATCGACTGAAAATATTTGAATAAACTGTTTACATCCTCCTGGATGGAACTGTTAATAACAATCTTTTATAATCGAACCTACGCTTTCACATGAAAATGAAATTGAATAGAATAAGAAAACACGCAACATGACATTTAAGAAATTCCAAAGTATTTCCGTTTCTCACGGAATTCTTTTCAATGAATAACGGTGTACGATCCTCGTATTATATCGTAAATTTCCATGCTGCTCGGTATCCTTCCATTGTGTACATTTTGCTTTTGTTTTTATTTTCCAAACAAAGTCGTTAAATAAATAAAAGTATAACAAAATAATCGCTCCGAAAATTATGTTGATTTTTGTAGCACGTGAATCATGCGACGTTTGTACGACGATTATTCTGAATAATTCATACAGTTGAGAATTCGTATTACAAAAGACAGGTTATTGAACCAGGACAAATTATTATCTCGTAAACTGTATCATTTTTAAATTTCATCTATACTTATGCTACCTGTATTAAGGTATAATACCGCGCTACAAATAGTTTCGTCGTTGGCAAAAATATATTTATATCGTTGAGTCGAAGAACATAAAAAATTTACATCTTTATCTTTCGCGATTATTTTGTTCTTTACTTTTAATTAGCTGTTCATAGTCTCGTCAACTATTAAAATGAGTTAGAAACTATTGTTGCTATCGCCTTCAATTAACAAATAAAACAATCGTTATACCGACGGAAACTTCCGCTCTTGAGACTCTGAAAATAATTCGAATAATTAAATTCTAGTCGCTGCTTTACAATGAGTATTTTTGAACTGTATCGACTGTTCCAATGAATATTCGTTGAAGAGTCGATACAAAAGTGTCAAGGGTTGCCGGATGTCGCATTCCTCTACATAAATATGCGTTTCGTTAATACCCCTAATTGCAATAGCGCGCACAGAGTTTCAAATGAGATCTATATATAACGGTAACTCGACGAAATCTAGTCCCTAAATTTTTCGTTGATTTTTAATTTAATAATATAAATATAAATTATTACTGAAAAATAGTTTTAACAATAAGTAGAAATCTGTTAAAAATGCATGACCATATCCTCTTTTCGGTGCTGCCATCTGTACAAGTTCTCCGTTCGTTCCATTCGAGCTTTACGACTGGAAGAAGGAGACGTTAACGATGTATCGTGCACGGAGATGCCGAAATTCTTAATTACAGACTTTCAAGTAACGAATAAAAGGTATACAACTTTAAATTCGTTATTTCTTAGACAAAGCGTAGAATGAAAATATATTTCACGTCGAACGAGACAAAAGTAATCTCGGTAACTGTACGTTCGAATGAAAGTTATTAAGAAAGAATTTACGTACGCTTACTTACGTATATTCTTACTCATTATTTACTATTCGAATAAAATTTTATCCATTTCTGAGTGCAAAGAATAAGCAATAATATGTAAAAACAAATCTTAGGAGAGTGGGACGCTTAACTGCTTTGAATAGACGCCAGGCAACGTTTTCTAAAATGGCTGATGGCGGTCCATGACTCAGGAGGAAGGAATGAGCGGGAAAAAGAATTTGGTTCGTACCAAAATGTAAATAATTTTTAATGGCTTCTTTTTGAAGAGGGGGAGGAAGGGGAATTACACCTTCTAAAAAGTTTGGTAACCACTGTGCCATGATATTATTCCGGATGATCAAGGTTCAATGCTCGTTAATCGCGGTTTTTTTACATATTTCTTTTTATGGTTTCCTGGCATTTTATAAAATATTCTATCTTGTCCACCGGGAAAGACAAGTTAACTCATTATGTGTATTCGTCTGCGTCTTCCTGTACTGTTTCGATCTTTTATTTCTTTACCCGAATATTATATTTGTATAAATAATTACCAAAAAATACTGTGTTACCATTCTGAACAGTACAAATATCCACTTTATAAATACAGATGTCTCAAAAATCTTTATTTAGTCAATGGAAATATTTTACTTTACAGTACAAAATTACAAAAATTTTGTTGACTTAAAAGTCAAGAATATATTATTGTCATATTAATATTTCTTTAATAAAGTATTATCAATATACTTAATACAATATTTATGTCTAAATGCAGTCACCAGTAATAGGTACATATTTTAGATCAATTTCTAAAAATAGAAATTACTTAGTTACGGCAGACAAACTCGTAGATCGTAAAAACAATTACTTCTACGATACGTGTAATAAATATATCATATTTGGTGAACTAATACTACATAGTACCGTATAAACTCTTCATCATAGCAAACATTTGAGATCTGTGACTTTATGATTCTTCAATTGACGAAAAAAAAAACAGAAAAAAAAAATCGATATTCATCGATTATATACCGACAATAAGAGTTGTGCATCAATATGTATAAATTAAATTGAATGTATGCTATAAGTAACGTGTTCGTTATGACTATCTTTCCAGAACGGTTATTAAATATTTGCAGTCTTGATCTCAATTCTTTTGTAATTCCTACATTCATACGAAGGATAGAGAAAATGTTTACTATGATCAACAATAAGTATATATATCTTAATGTTTTGAAACATCAGCAAAGTGAACTTTCTTTCCATGGCCGTCTAAAGTCTCCATTAAGCTCGACGTGAAACTGAATTCTGAACTGCTTTCATCGTCTTGATCTCTGTAAAACGATAATCCATCAATTATTGTACAACCAACAGTACAATCGTGAGGTTCAAATTTATCAAAATAAAATTACGTACAAAGTATCGAAACTCGTAAGACTGCCGTTTAGTCGTCGTATATTAGAAGGACCATCTATCTTCAACAATTCCAAAAAGGAATTTACAGTTGACAAATAAATTCCTTTCGATCCAGCTAGTCCCAAATAACGAGGGTTAGATAACTCGATTAATATTCGTTCTGGGTTCTTCGTCGGCGTAGTGTACGATTCTTGATCGAGTTTCAAGATCTCCACGGATGAGAAGTAAATAATGAACAAATAGGGTTTACGGAAAGCTACGAAAAAATAAGAAACAAATGTAATAAATGTAAAAAATCGTTCGTAATTGTTCTTACCGAAAACAAAGGGTAAATTATTCCACATCGGTTCGATGCTACGGGTTCTTTGGCCATTTTCATTTACAAACATTCCGAACTCGTTGTAGCAGAGCAAGATCTCCATTTTGTCAGGTACTAGAGAAACGTTTAGAACGCATACAGGGAAAATATCAAGTTTAGCTACTCCCGATAGCGCAGCTTTTACCGAATTATCGTCCCCTTCTGGAAACTCTGCAACATTACACGAATTCATATATTAGTAAATAAATAAATAATTGCTCTCTAAAGCATTAGCTTTGCTACTTACCATCGACACAGTAATTTTTAAGATCTATTTGGAAAAATTTATTACATCCCACGATGAGGACATTCTGAGTAAATATGGCACAGTTGCATGGCTCGGATGTTTCGAGTTCTCGAACACCAATAAATTCTCCAGAATCCTCTTCGGTGTACCATTTGAGTAATCTGTGTACAGTTGCATAAGAAAATCTGAATACCGCGCCTTATGTTTAAACGATATATCGTGTAAATGAGACTCACATTACGTGGGATGCTGTCGCCGCGCACAGCATGTCCCCTTGTAATTCGTATAGATGACAGCTATCGGTACCAGTTAGAACTGGCTTTGTATTGATTGCTGGCCTGGAGCATTCAGCAGCCATTGCATTACTCTTCAATTGTCTTAAATTACAAGATACTAATTGCCTATTTTCTCCAGCTATCATTAAAGCTATACCCAAATGAGGGTGTACAGTTAACTGATGCACCCCCTTCACTCCTCGTATAGCAGTAAGCATCCGTGATTTTGCACCGCTATATGAGAACAGGCCTTCCTCGGCGCCCAATAGAAGCACATTTTCTTCGGGCAAATTTACAGCACACGTTAAATCCAACTGAAAAAAGACGATCAAACATTAGTAGGGTCATTGGCACGAATAAAAATACCGGTGAAACAAATCTGCTTACTTGATTGCTTTCTAATCTTAATATAATTTGATATCTCTCACTTTTATGAATATTACTCAAACGATTTTGACTAGTAACAGACTTCAACGCTTTCAACCAATTTTTCTTATCGGTCTGATTCAAAGCCATTATATCTAAACGTGACGTTGGCCAACAGGTAGTCGATGAATTAGATTCCAATCTAAAGATAAACGGAAGGTCCGACTTCGCTGTTCTCATTACATCCGGTAGCTGTACACTATCCAATACTGTGAATCCATCCTTCTCGGTGAGATTCAATCGATTCACGGGTGACATACCGACAGCAGGTTGATGTTCATAAATACATAAACTTGTACCTTCCAATCTCAGGTATTTTCTTTCCCAACAAGTTTTTGTGCGTATCGGGACTTCCGCCCAGCCCTCCATTATCACATTATCCTTACTTTGGGCATCGCATGTATCCTAAATCGATGATACAAATTATTATACATATAATACAAGGTGCTGCGCAGGTTTTTGTATAAATTTTATTAGGTAATGCTTCAAGAAACCCCCTGATCAAGTTAAACGTAGAACTCCGTTTGTGAACAAAGTTTGTACAAAAACCTGTAGAACATCTTTCGCCTAAAAAGACGTAACATAATTCATACCTTCTCCGCTTTATCTGGTTGATCAATGGTTAACGTTTGAACGCTTCCGGATAACGTGGATAAGCTTTCGTCGCTGTTCCTCCAACTTTTGCCAAACTGTTTGGCGAAACCGCCCGGTAAGCCGCAAGTAGCTGGAATGGTAACCGCGCATTTGAGATGTGCCATTACTTGACACTCGCTGCAAATGGCCGCACGTTTGCCAAATCGAATGGAATCCAAGCAGCCGGAGCATTTTCCTGCTCGCATCGGTAAACCGACTTCGAATCGGTGGGGAATGTTGTGCCCTATCCTTTGGGGCGATAACCGTTTCGTCAACGTGTTAGCGGACTGTAATTCCGTCGTGTAATTCGAACTCTTCATTTCCGGAGCTGTAGGCGAAGTTGGCGCGGAAATCGAAGCGTGCATAGTTCTGAGCGCCAACAATTGGTCGGTTAACGTTTTAACTTTTGCACGCTCTTTTGCTAGTTGGTTCTCCAGCTCCCGGTAACCGACAGGCATCCCAGTCCCGCTAGGTGGTATATTTTCTTTTTGTTTGGTGCCAAGTATCTTGTCGCACACCGTTGTCTTCTTCTTTTTACTACACTCCTCCAATTTGAACTGCAGGTAATCGATTAATTTTGTCTGCTGTTGCCTGGTGCTTTCAGCCTTCACTTCCATTTCCTGATAGAACTGTCGCATTTCCTCCAAGATACTCTCCAATTCCGATATTCTCATACGAAGCTGTTGGCCCTGGTCCACGCTAGTCTGCAGATCGTTCATAAGCGCGAAGTTCGCTTCCTTCAATTCGTGGAACCTCGTCAGATGCTCGCTACTTTCTTCTTTAACCACTCTTGTCTCTGCCTTGGCTACCTCCAAGCTACGTTTCATTTCCGAGAAATCACATTCCAATTCGCCGCATTTGGTTGTTAAATCCTCGACTTGAGTGTTCAATTCTTGCACGAGCCTCTTGTACTGATCCCTCTGAGACAATAAACCGTTTCTCTCGGTCTCTATATCACTAGTTTCGGATTCGAGTCTTTCTAGATTGCGTTCAGCGGCCAGTCGCAACGATCTCTCTTCGTTTCGAACTGTTTGCGATTCGCGAAACTTCGCTTCGACCGCTTCCAGGTCTTTTTGTAACTTCATCTTGTCTTGGATCAGTATATTCTCCCGCGTCTCGTGATCGCTAGTCAGCTTCTCGTAATCCATCAATTGCTCCTCGAGCACCGTGCACGTTTCTTTCAAAAGTTCGATATTCAACTCGTTGCCCTTGATCTCTTGCTCTAGCCTTTCGATCTTGGTTTCGAGCTCGCTCTTTTCTTCGGCATGTTTGGAAATTTTGTGCGACAAACGTCTATTCTCGGTATTCAGACTATCGACCCTATCTTGACTCGTTCGTACTTGCTTGCGCGCCGAATCTAATTCTCTGCGGAGCGAGGCGCTCGAAGATTGAAGCTCTTCTATTTGTTGATTAGCTTGAGTCAAAGCCTATATCGAAACAAAACAATATGACGAAAATATAAAGTAACGTAAAGGGGGGAAAATAATAGAAATTAAATAAAACAACAATCGAAAGAAATTCATAAACGGAAACTATAGATGTACAATGTTCAAAAATATTTACTCTCTGAGCAGAATCTGCTTGCATTTTGTTTCTAGAGGAATCCTTGGTTATATCATTCAACGATGATTTTGCACTACTTAATTCTTTGAGCAATCTTCTAGATTTTTCTTCCTCTTCCTTTACTTTGTGATCCAACTTGTCTGACAATTTATGTTTCTCTTCCAGCAACATTTTCACTTTATCCTCCGCCTTTTTGCATTCTCTCAATGCAATCCTTTTATCTAAATTCGCGTCCGACAATTCCTTTTCTTTCTTCCATAAATTGATCTGCGCTTGTTTCGCGGTTTGACGTTCGGTATTTAAATTTTCTCTCGTAGTTTGAAGATCATGCTCTAATTTTTGTATTTGTTCTTCTATACGAATATCCGGTGCCACCGTTTCTCTTTTGGGCATCGTGCTGGTACTCGGTTGTTCAGTTTCCATTTTAAGAGTAGCGTTTTCCACTTCCAGCTTGGTAACGCTATGTTCTAATCGTCGTAACAATTCTTCTAAATTACCAACTTTACGCATGTGCTCCTCTAAAAATATTTATAAATTTTCATTAAACGATGTTCGGAAAAGTTAACGGCTGACTTTTAAAAGCATACCTTCTTTCTCAAGAGAATCCTGTAACCGTTTCTGTAGCGCAACTTTGTCTTGTGCAGCTTGTTCCAAATTCATGGCCAGAGCTTCACTCTGTTCCAAATTCATTACAGTTTCGCTTAAATCGGACTTCGTTACCTTCAAACAATATTTAATCGATAAGATCAAGAACTTGTATGGATATATAAGTAACTATTTGTTCAAAATTAAAATTAATATTAAATACGTACTTGTAATTGTTGCTTCAACTGTTCGTTCTCGAGCTGCACTCTGTCCAATTCCTGTTGCATTGTAGTCACTGTCTGTTCTAATGCCATAGCATTCTCTAATTGATTTGATCTTTCTTGCAATTGTTTTTTTAAAGCTTCTATTTCAGTATCCCTAGCTGGAATTGTTGCATGTATGGTACGCAATTGCTCTTGACAGTCTTTCAATTCGTTCTGTGCTAATTCTAAAGCAACATTTAATCTCGACTGACGACAGTGATTAGAATCTTGTTCATTTCTCAGTTTAGTCTCTAAATCCGTATTTTTTCCTATCTCCAAATCTAACTTTGCTCTTAGTTCAGCCAACTGATTATGCGCTCGAGCTGCTATTTCTTCCAGTTTCGTCTCAACGCCTTGAACGCTTTGTCGACTAAGTTCTCTAGTTTTGGCTAGAGACTCTTTATATTGCATCTAATAAAATAATAATGTTATTGTATTCTTTAAAACTATAGATAAATTATCATGTAATATTTTATTTCCATTATACGGTGACAATAGAAGCATATCATATTGCAATTAGTACTTTTCAAATATGCTGCTAAATTTGATATTTTATCGCGAACACCCAGGAGTAACTAACCTGAAATACCCTAAGTTTATGCAATTCTGCATTCGCTGTTTGAAGTTCACATTCTGTTCTCTGTAATCTTGAACTCATTTCATTGTTACTTGTGCATAATTCTGTAATTCTTGCAGTTTGAGTCTCAATGTGCTTGTTTAATTGTGCAATTTTTTCCCTTTCTGTATTTTCCCATTTGCGTTTTGCATCTTTTATTAAACTAAGAGCCCTGGTCTCTAAATCTCTTCTTTCTTGACGTTCTAACTCTGTCATTACAAGATATTTACTATGTAGATTCTATGTATGCAATGTTAAAGGGGTTTTGTAAGCCATAGTTATTAACATATTTAAGTACATAACAATACTGATTATTTTACAAAATTAATAGAAACCAAATATTAAAAATTTTTAATTTACAATATAACATTCGATAAAATATAATTGTAGTCATAAGCTAGTTATAAAAATTCCATGACTTCTATATTGATTAAGGTAGTAATATTCAAATTCGCTAATGAATAAATTAAAAATCAAAGAATTCTTTGATTCTTTCACACACAAATTATAAATTACAAATTACCTAATGTTCTTTTTATTCCAGCTAATTCTGACCTAGTGGAAACTAGTTCTCTTTCCAATAAATCTCTCTCCTTGTTAAATGCTTCTAATCTCTTTTTTTTCTCTTCGAGTTTAGTTTCTAGACATGCCATTTTCCCAACTTTCTCTTGAAGTTCAAATATTTTCTTTTGTTTTTCTTGGATATCCTTCTTCTTGGAATCCAATTGTGCCTCCAATTCATTCTTTTCTTTGTACAATTTGTCAGATTGCGCGGAACGATGTTTATGAAATTTAAACTCGAAGAAGGAAGAGTTATCTTTTTGTGCATCTTTGGTAGGGCTGCTTGATTCTGGCTCAGGAACACTTTTATTACTGCCTATGAACACAAAGTATATTAAACTTCAAAGTAAACATACCATTATCATTAATATGCCTCTAATAAGAGTTACCTAAACTTTTTCTAATTATAGCCAGATCGCATCTTGCTGTTCTCAGTTCCTTTTCCAATTTTTCCTTCTCCTTTGTACATGTTCCAATTGTTTCAGCCTCTTCTCCCTCTTGAGCCTCATACTTAGAGGATAATCTCCCCCTTTCACAATCCTTTTTATAACGTTCCTGAAACTCTTTTTCTCTACGTTCGAAATCCATTCTCCTTGTTTTTCATTTGTGACTTACTTTTTAACAAAGAAATGCTTTTATTGTTTGAAGTTACGGAAACATTTGACCAAAAGATATCCTATTTTAAACGCGTTTAGTGTTTTTCAGCGGGTCTGAGCGTGCATGCACTCCGTTGAAGTTTGAAGCCACGCTTAGTTAGGAAAAATTTGGTAGGTAGCGCTTGTGGGACATCACACTACCTAAAAACATGTCGGTGTGCACACACTTAAAATACTCCATCGTCGGTGAAGCGTCGTTAGTCAGTTGTGGTCGCCATCTTGATATTGCTATTCCATTTCAAACTGTGTATGTAACTGGTGGTTCGCATCATATAGAAATTAGATTGCACAAGTAGGAAAGTAATAATTTTATTCATATTCTGAAAGTTGTATTACAGTGCAATATAGTGTTACTGGTGTTATAGTATAAGTTAAAAATAATGTTACATATTCGTAATACCGATGGAATTATTCTGATGAAAGTAAGGTTATGATCTGTACTTCTGACAAAATGTATGACGCTAAAAAAATTGACCCATGTTGGGTGTTATCAAATGCGGATGTTCGTAGATAAAGCGCAGTTTGATAATTAAAGAGTGATAATTTTATGATATAACCTTATATTAGGGATTTTTCCAAAGATTTGTTAGTTTTATTTATAATAAATTTCCCTCCAAATTTAATCCACGTTACATTTCAGGTTCTTTTATGCTCGCAAGCAATTATAAACAAATAAAGTTAAACATTGTATTAATAGATCGTCTTGTATACAACAAACGATTTTAAATTTAAAATAAATTGTGATCACCTATCATTTCCCTGTATGTTTGTTACGGTTTATCAAGAACATTTGGCTGAGTTTATGCTGTGGTCAATAAGGCAATTTCTTATATCTATAAAGGATATTTATTCTTAAAACCAGTAATATTTGAGGTTTAGATCACTTTCAAATAAGTAACTCAGCATACTTAGTTTTAATTCTTACCATGAACGGCGTTGATTTCTTATTCCATACTAAATCAATAACATTGTAATGCCTAGGAGGTTTTCTACAGTCCCCAGAGTCTTTGAATAAAAGGTTTCATCAAATATATCTAGTCTGCCCTATGCTCTGTTCGCAATTCTATTAATATTAATAATATTAGTTCTTGCACGGAAATCTCTTATAATAGACATGAATGATCTATGAATCATTTTGTGGTCGGTAACATGGATCTATTGCTTTTGTCAAAAATTAGATGTTCTTGTCTAAATTACATTTATCGAATAATAAGTAATTATGTATACACAAAATGTACATAGTAGTGATTATTATTCATTAAAATGTAAATGTTAAAAGCCGGCCTGAACTACATGTCTCATGTTGCACTGAAAGATCAATATGGCGACTTCCATGAAGTAATTAAATAAAAGTGAACGCTTGTTATGAAGATTGAGTTTCATAATAAATTCACACAAAAGTGCAAGCGTCAAATACTTTAATAATTATGCTCATTATTATGCGATGATAGTCAATGACACTAAAATTATACAAAGTGAAATTCTCATCATTCCAGTACGTTTTTTTTAAAGCTTCTGTGTATACTCAATAAAGAACATGTGCACCTGCATTTCTATTAAAAATAAGTTGCAACTATTTGCACCTAGAGTTTGCACATTACATGTTGTGTGCAACTATGTGTCCAAAATAGAATTCGTTCATACCAATGCAAGAAAGTATATGTTAACGTAAAAATATTTTGATATTTTTCTTTCAGCTTTTAATAAAATGCATAAAGAATCGAAGTATAATTATAACAAGTAGAATCTGAATAATATAAATAAAAAAACATGTTACAACAACATGGATTGTCAAGGGATAAAGTACTGTTCCGTATTTTTAAAAATAAAGGTCCAACTGCTAGCAGTATATGTGAAAAACTGGTATTTATTAGCGTACAATAATTACATTTTTTTGTGACATTATTAATTTATTTCAGGCTATAATTCATGTATACATATATTTTTATAAATCAGTCAGATACTGAGATAACATTTGTGTCAAACTTTTGAGATTTTGGTATTTTAGTGTTTCTATAATATAACGATAAACTTATTAAGAATGAATTCTTACATTAGAAAGACGATGTAAAAAACATTGTTGTATTAACGGAGGATGAACTTTGTGAGTTATGGAAATATATGAAAACCATATTATTAGAAGCTCAAAAATTGTGTACGCAATCATCCAATAAAAAGAATAAATATGTGAAAGTAAGGTCCTTTGTAAACATCTGTTTACTCCCAATTATAACATTTTACTTAATCTTTAATATATCTTAAATTTCAGGAATATAACATTATGATTAAATTGATACGCACAGTAACTGCAATGGCACTTGAAACAATTGTACAACGAAAATTTATACCTAATATTCTATTACAAAATATTATGTTGTTACATTCCATTATATTGCCCAGTTTAAGTGACAAGCAGGTTGATGTTTTATTACATTGCATTATATATTTTTAATATTTTTCTCCTTAATGAATTAACAAATAAAAAATTTCTAAGGCTAAGAATGAAATATCCTACCTACTGGAAAACTGGTGGAAATTAGATATGACATGGAAGGAAAAAGTGATAGTGAACGCAGTGAAATATCTTGTCCAAAGTTGCAAATCTTCATTGGTAATTATATAACACGTTATTATGATAGAAATATACAATACTGGAATATTAATTGTATTTTTAGTTACATATAAAACGCTTGTATGACATAAGATGTAGCGTCAAGTTGCTAAAACGTACAGAGGATGTACAAGAATTGCTTAAACTTGTTCGCGAGAAATCTGTGATGTCGATTGAAGAAGGTCAAATGCTATTCTTGCATTTGTTTACTCTTGGGGAGCAATATATACTGGTACAAGTCATAATTATATATACACGCTCGTTTCTTTTATATGAAATAATATTGACATGGAAATTATTTTAGGGAATTCATAATAACATAAAAGTAATATTACAAGACGTAGGAAACAGTTATATTCGTGTCTATGCAAATTTGTATGCAACAGCATGGACAAATGCATCTGCTAAAATGAAAAAATTCATTGCCGAGAATTGTTTGAAAAATTTAGTTTTCCATTGTTTTCGCGCGCACAGAGATTCAGCGGGAAGAGGGGAACTTGGTAAAAATTTGCTCATATTTCTTACTGCTATTCACGAGAATAAAAATCAAGCAGTAAGATTAATGATTCACAACCAGTGTAAAACTTTACTTTGGAAACACTTAGAGGTAATAATGCAATAACATATCTAGTTTATGATAATTAATGAATATAATTTTTTTTTCACAGGCTCCTGGTTCCTACGTCAGGTGTAATGCAGTGGAAATTCTTTTTGTGACAAGCTCTATACATTACACGTGTGCTACAAAAGATAGAAGTATAGCTTATCTTCAAAAATATTATAAAACAATAGCTCATCTTTTAAAAGATTCTGATCATCAAGTGTGCAATGTTACCATGAGCGTAAGCGAATTTTTATAGTATTAAACAGATTTTTATTTGATAGCTAATATTTTATAATTTCGAATATTATTAGGGTCTTTTTGAAATATTGGAAAAACATTGGAACTGCGTTCCAAACAATATTATCCGCGATTGGTTAAATATATTACTACATTACACAAAATGCTCGAGTAATTCTGAAATGAGAGCAAATGTTTTTATTCGCTTGAAAAAAATTTTAATCAAGGAACGATCTCATAGAATACTTAGAGATTTTTTACCAAATTTTGCACAAAGTATTTATGACGAAGACAAAACCGTAGTAGAAGAACTAATCAAACTTCTACGGCATGCACAAAATCAACTCGGAATTCCGTTCTGGGATATTGTACCGTTAACGTACATTCTTGATCGTTTAGAGGTGTGTATGAATTCACCTAACATAAAAATATTTCTAAATGTAAATAAAAATAAATACTTTCAGACTACTCAAGACACAATTTTATTAGCTGAATTGATAAAACTTCTGTGGTTGCGTATATCTTCAGATTATACAGACAATCATAAAATAATAGAAGAAATGGTATACATAGGAAGAAATAATATAAAAGCAATTAGGAGATTTTGTCTTCATTCGAAATTTGTTATAAACTGGAATGTCTGTATAGAGCTTATTGAAACTATTTTACCTATGATAGAAGAGGAAATGGAGTGTTTACCTTCGATGGAAATATTACAGAAAAAATATAACAAGAAAGCCAAGCTGAGTAATAAGGAAAATAATTGTAAAAATGGTAATAACATATATAGTTAGATTAAATATAGCATTCAAACAAATGATTATCTTTATTTTTACAGGATATGTCAATGAGTTGGAAGAAGATCTAGACAGTTACAGAGATGTACAAATATATATTGACGTTATTGCTACGTTATTAGTAGCAAATGCAAAAAACATAGAAGAAGAAAATTTTACTCAAGCGGAGATAACGGTTTTACAATCAATTGCAAAAATCTTGCCACAATTTTCTAAATTTTTCAAGGTAATTTTTTCAAAACTTGTTCCTCAACGCGCAAAATTTTTTGATTTATATAATTGTCCCCTAGGAAACTTCGATAAATGAATCGGTGTTATTTTTATTCTCTTTAATACCGGCGAAGTTTTTTCTCGATAAAACTGAAGTCATAGAGATGTTGATGCAGCAATTGCGTGATCATAGTACTTCTGAAGATACAATTCTTACAGTTATATATGTTCTTTTGAAATGGAATAAAGGACAAACGATTTTATTTGCACTGACAAACCTATTTACAGAGTCATTAAATATAAATATACAAACTAACGAGGTACAAGTATTACGTGATAAATACGATCATAAGGATATAATATGACACTAATTAACAATTACTTTAGGGCACTTGTAACGACTCGGACGTCTTTAAAATTAACGAAAGAGGCTTAGAGTTAAGTCTTCGTATTTTAAAACATTTATTACATGTTGAGTACCGATCCGTCTTAATGAATAAGTATCATCAAGATGTACTTACATTTTGGGAAAGTTTACATAGGTGGAGAATATTTATACAAAAAGAACTAGATAACGAGTACAATATAAATAACGTAATATCCAAAGATTTAGTCGTCAAGTTTTTTTACGAATACATATCAATGGTCTTTTTGTTAGATAAAGCAGACGTGTTCAATGCTTCGGAACATTTATCGGAAATTCTGTTATGGATGACAAAGTACGTAAATAAATTACTTATTTTCAAGAGTATTTTCGAAACTATTATAATTTATATTGCATTTTTAACTTAGGGCAATAGTACCCCATATACCGCAAGTAGACCTGGATACTGACAGCCATCAAATTTGTATCGATTTAATGAAATGTACTTTCGACATTTTAAATCTATTTATGAAAGAATACGATAGTACCCCAAAGTTATGTTGTGATATTGTACTTTTGTATAGCAGTTGTTTAACTTCGTTAGGGGGTGTTGCTTTTTTGACTAATGCATTTGACGGACTATTCAAGTTACTAGATTTTAGTAAAATGGCTTATGAAAATCAGGAGCCAAATTTGTTAAAAATCGTCGTACCAAATTTTGTTTCCATTATAATGGTTACTTTAACCAGATATGATCAAAGTGTCTTGGCCAAACAAACAAATGTAAGTATTTACTTTGTTGTTTTAAGACAAAAGTAACATCCAAATTGAAGTATTTTGTGTATTAATTGTTACAGAATTTAAAAATACTGCATGAATTGACGCAAAAGTATTTTTCCGTTATTAAGAGTACTTTTAATGACCAGAAAATGTGTCTCCCCTACATAACTCTCATGTTTAACACCGCAATCAGCAACATAAGCAAAGAAATGATCCGTGTACTCCAAAATACACCTATTAAGATGGAAAATATTTTAATAACAAATTTCCCTTACTTAGCAACAAAGATACTCAAAATAATTTTAATTACAAAAAAATACCAATCACTGAGTGTTCAGGTGTTAACAAAAACAATAACAAATTATACAAAAGTGTGTATGTTTGAACTGTCTAATAAGTATCATTGTTCAAGTAAAACTTACCATACATGATGTAATATTTCAGATCGACACGCTTTCCGCTCTAGTAATAATTCACAAAATGGTTAAATCATCTGATAAGACACTTATCAACAAACTTAGAAACGTGACATTAACATTGAAAGAACACGATCGAGAGTGGTCATCCGACACTCCCTTTGACAGGTATAAGAAATATTCAATTTTATATTAATAAATAGACAAGACCAAGATTAATGACGTTCCCCGTTTCAGATCTATCAACGATGCAATAAATATAGTTTTAGATACTATATTGCAAGAGTAACATATTGCAGATTCTATGATGTCTTATTCCTTTAAGAAAAATTCTTCCAGTAAAGTAAGGTTTGTGCAATATTTCGAAATATTTCACGTAAATAGTTTCTTCGAGTATTAAAGGAACGAGTAATTTAGTTATATATTTTTAAACAAAATGAAAGAATATTTTTCTATGAAAACAGAGTACAAAACTATTAGAGGTAAAACCCGCGATTGGGTTATTTCATGTAGTTGGTAAAATAAACATCTTTCAGATGATTTTAAAAATATATATTTTGTTTATACCGGAATATTATAATTTTTTATAAATGAAATATGCGAACTCCCGTTTATATATTAACCTTTTATAAAAAAGATATTAATAAATTACTGAATTATAGTTACCACGATAGATATTTGTTGTACATTTATACAATCTTGCATCTTGATTTTTCATCCATGTACGCGATCAACCGGAAGATGTTATATGTCGCATCTGTCTGACAGCAGCCACAACCCTGGCATTACACCCAGAGCTGCCGTTTTGATAATCCTCCGGCGATAATCTCAGTAAGAGAGACATGTGTTGTAAGTTTTCTAACAGGGAGAGACCAAGTTCCTCCAATATATTGCCAAGGTAATCTATGATACATATTTCTAATGTTTAATTTAGATAAGTACATCTTATTCTTTACTAATGCAACACTTTAATCCACTTACCTATGTCGGTAGCAAGTTGTTTACACGCTGCAGAGCTCAATTGACAAATCCCTAATGTTTGATCTAGAAACATTTGACACGTCCCTTTAGCAATAATGTCTAACAAAATACCGGTGAACCCAGATTCGGTTAAACCTTGTGCATATTGCGGGTCTGCCGCTTTCAATGCTCGAGTTAGGTTTGGATTTTCTCTGAGTAGGAATGGTTCTAAATGCTGCGGCAATGTCATCAAATATTGTCCAACTTGAGTTATGTATTCCTGAGGCGCGAAACTATAATCAGGTAAATCTGCGCTCAGATGGGTCATTTTGTTTGCTTCCGTTGACCATGCAGGTGCCTTTGGCACTTGCAGTAACTGAGTAAAAATCGGAGCAAAGATCACTTCGTACGTAGCGTGATGCAAATCGGAGCATAGTTTGTGTATAGATTTTATTATCGAGTCGAGAATAGTTTTTTCCTCTGTAAACAAAATAATCGTGAGAACTTTAACCGGTAATTCTTCGTAGTAACAAAAATCTGACGGTATTACCTTTTTGGAAAGATGCAACAAGGTTCTCCAGGTCAGTTTGACTGGATGTGTTCAACAGTAACTTTTTGTACTGATTAAAAACACTGCCTGTTGCACTTTGTAGTTTGTTGTTAGCCTCGGTTATATCGATTACCAAAGACTTTTCAAATTGCTGAATTTGCCCCAAGAGATCGCCTAAATTAATTGAAGCATACATGGGAATTTTATTGTAAATTTCCAAAGAGTTTAAAATTGTACGCATTACCTATAGTTTGCATCAAAGTGAGACACATTTGAAACAGATTCCAATCCTCGTGCTTTACTTTTTTGCGTTCCAATTTCCGCACGGTTGCTTGATATTTTTCAAGATATTTACTAAAATAACTCTATAAACATAAGAAACATGTTTACCACATATATTTTAACATCTTTTTACCGTGAGACTTTGTTTCGAACAACGTACATTTAAAGATTTCAATAAACCGGGATACCCACAGCCATCGGTAAAAAGTTTGCATCTTTTATTGGCCTCGTTTGCATATTCCATTATTCTTGAAATAGTTAGGGAAATAACATTGATCGTTTCGCTTAAATCATCTTGCGCACGGTCCATCGACTGAAGACGATGTTCAAGTTGTGCAGTTTCGTAAACATTATATTTTACTATGTACGGTACATAAGGCGCGTATATTGCTTGTGCCAACGATAGCAATTTTTGATTTTGTAATTTTCCATGGGACGATGCCTCGATCGCACCATTCAGATTTACTGCAAAATGTCTTGTGATCTGTTTAAGTTCGAGCAGCAAAGACAATTGCATGGAAGTCGAATGTTGCTTTAAAATTGCTTCTATACATTCTGGAATACCTGGATCTAAACTTTTCAGAAGATCAGTATACACTTCGATCAAAACGTCGATCGAACTATTTGGGAATACTTGATGGCACCATTTGACCTTAATCAAAATCACGCTGCTTTAGTAAAATATATATATCGAACATTTTCCGATAGTAATCGAATGATTGGAAACCTAAGAGTTACCTGATCGTGCCAACTAGATAGTAGTTTATCATAGTAATTGTGTAACCAGTAAGTAACGTTTTCGTCTTGCGCTAATTCGATAGTTCTCCGCCATTCTTGTACCAACGACACTTTCAAACAATTGTGATAATATTTAACGAGTTGCGGTAAACGTTCCATTTTACTAAAAATATCCACATAAACTTTGGATTGTTCTAAATATTTTTTAAAAGAAAGATTAGGTGTTAGATTCTATGAATTAGTAAAATACGTTCTACCAGTAATGTAATTTACCCAAATTTGCAGCAGTAAATGCTTGTACTAATCTTGGACTAGCCATTGCTTCTAATCGATTTTTCAAACCTTCTAATTGTAATTTTTTATCTTCATAATCGACAACGTTTATAAGCATACCCAGTGACTTTTGCATACTGAACAACTTATTTGCAATAGCTTCTACATCTCCCGACTCAAATACCTGAGATATTAAAAAGAACACAGAGAAAATTTGTAAAATATTCCTCCCTTCTATTTCATTATTTACCTCCTCAACATCATTGGCCAGTACACTCCAATTGTCAGCCTCGTGCAAACCCTGTTTAGCAGTTTGCAGATCTGTCTTTATCCTATCTATTCTTTCTAAGGTTGCCATAGAGGATGCTGTGTCTTTCTCTACCTATTTGATAAATGTTATCATTATGGAAGATACAGTAGTCTTGTTACATATTAAAGAGCATTTAAAAACACGACCTTTTCAATTTCTTCCTTGACAACAACCATTTTTTCTCTCAGAGCCAAAGCTTCTTGTTGCAAAAGCTGTGTATCCCTTAAAACTCTTGGCAAACTTGAAAGAACAGACTGACTAGTCTCCTCCAAAGCACCATTGACTTGTTGAACATACAGTTGCAACTTCATCACCAGGGATGAAACAAATGCCTAATTGGGGCAACATTATTGATGAATTATTTCGAAGAAAACTAGCTTCTTCATATTTGAAACAATCCAAAAATCGTGTACTATTTCAGTGTCGAGATATCGTAGAAATATTGGAAGATGCGATAACGAAAAATTACTGTTACAAATTCGGGTCCAATGACAAAATTAAGCCGTTCGTGCAATCGCTTTCGCGCGAAACTAAGACGAAAAGATTTCTGAAATATGGATGTTGTCGGTCGCGATGCGCTAGAAAAAAAAGTTGTCATCTTCGAAAATGACACGCGATGTCATTGACCGCGTTGCAATGGAAGCAAGAGGTCAGTTTAGTGACTGCATCAGTGTAGTTGAATTTGAAAAAAATCTGCCGAGGAACGTAAGAAATTGGCGGGATACGATCAAGGGAATTGTAACAACGGTACACGACTCACATCTTTGTTTTCTTCTGCCTCGGCGGACTTGAACGTTTTGTTGATCCAATCTTTAACGTCGAAAGATTCCTCGGAGAACGCGGACACGTCCTGAAAGCGTTGTTTTAAGGTTAGGTACGATTCAATCCTCTTTTCCGAGAATATTCTCGGTATTCGCTGCGATCGTGGTTGTGCTCGCATACAATTTTTGCAAAAATTTGTAAAAATACGTAAATTAAGAAACAATAACTGCCTAAGAAAAAGATCAACGGAGTTAATCGACGGTTGTTCGTGCCGCTTACCATGACAAAATTTCGTTGGAACGAATTTTCGGATATCGTTTCGTTCGTAAACGGAGAATTGCGAACTGTTGTGCACGATCGGCAACGATTCGGTAACGATCAGTTGGAAATTTATTTTTCACTTTTCCTTCATCGCCGCATAGCGCAGAAGTGCTTCGCCGCGAGACCACTTTGCACTTTGCGTGTTGCTCGTGACTCGAGCCAGGATCCGGAAGGACAAGTTCTTATCGCTCACTATTGCGACAGATTAAACCATTCAAACGTTCTCGGTACATTCGACCGTCAAGTATTTCCGTTACATCCTCGAAGATAATCAGTGCTCGCGGCTACTTAAGGGCGGGGATCAATCGTGCGAACGTCGTGCAACATATGCCCCTTAGGCAGTACGCGATATTAGGTTAGACTTATTTCGTTAAAATACGAAAGAATCGAGAGGTTCGAAACGACAGAGTTCTCGTTGTGCCGGCGCGTTACGTGTGTGACCAGCAACTCTTTTTTAGGATAAGAACAAAGAACGAACGAAAACTAAAAGAACCGTTTAAAGTAAGACAAGTGGTACGTTCTTAAAGCGATAGTCGTGATAAGCAGGCTTCTGTATCTCGGATTGCAGACGGATTCGACGATGGAACAGGGCTTTCTGGAAGACAGCCCTTTCACCCCCTCGCGATCATCGGCTCTGTTTTCTCGTGACACGATCCACGGCCCTGGATTCCGACGAACTGCCTACCAGGAGGTAGGCGGTAAATCGAAGGGGAAAAGGGAGAGAAAATGGAGAACAGCATGTTATCGGCCACTTCCGGGCCCTTCGTTGGTCGCCACGCCCCCGAAACTGCGTTTGCGCGTGACGATTTGCGCAACAGTTGGAACTTAGAATTTCGCCTCCTCGAAATCGCCTTGGTCGCGACGAAAATAAGGAGAGCTATAGACGAGCGTAACCGCGACACGACTTGTACTCTGCCCTTTTTCTTGCGAACGTTCAACGCGTCGAGCACAAAGCTGCTCTTTACCTCCCAGGTTGTGTTACACACGCGTACCGTATCGCTTCTTTTTTCTGTGTACGTGTTTACCGTGGACTCGCCACGTATCGTCGTTATAGATTTCTCGGAGGGCTTGAAAAGGTTCCGAAAATAATTGTTTCAAACCGTTATATACGAAGTTCTGGTCGAAACTGCTACGAAGAACCTAAAAGTCGAATTATACCCATGTCAAAGTTCTTGTATCGGTGTTATTTTTTAGTTTCCGAATCTGTATAGTGTAAATGTTTTGAAAAGATATCGAAACCGTTTTCAAAAACGTTCATCATAACTGTTTCAAGAACCTAAACTTGTATCGTAACAGTTTTCGAGTCTTGTTCAAAGCGTTCGAGACCTCGAGTTCGATCGAGTTTCCTTTCTGATATTTGACAAATATTCGAACGATACCTATACTTAAACTTCAAATTAAACTTAAGTGGAATGCTCAGCGTTGAATTTTTAAGTTGCTTTTGAACAATTTTAGAGTAGTAGTAAATTTCGAAATATTAGGTATGTTGAATCGATATGAAAGGTCAACCGTGAAATATGGGGGTGGCAACGCGATGGCGTAAGCGTTCTCGTCTCGCAGTGTCCATTTTATAGAGATCGAGAGTACAATGAACAGTATCCGATACAAGAATACATTAGAGAGGACGATGCTACCGTATGTCGAAACGAGCTATGCCTCCAAATTGATCTTTTAGCATTGGCAACGATTCGAAACATGCATCGATCATAAAAATCTGTGTTTCTCTTTGGCCACTTCGGTCACGTGATTTGAATCCCATGGAGTAAGATTTAGTCTCTTCTTCGAACGATTCTAGTACCAAGTTTTAATTTAAATAATTAAAATCCATCTGTAATTAAACGCTTTGCACAGTCAGGCATTCGAACAGCCAAATATCGAACTCGAGGTTTAACGTTATAGGAAAGGAAACAACGTTGATTTAAACTGTCTAATCGTAGATTCAGGACGAGATCTCAAAGTTCCACTCGCGACGAGGAGATTATTCTTTCCTGTAAAGCCGAACTTTATTACGGACGGCAATCAGGCTCAATCAGTAGAGCGTATTAGAATCGTACGCATTTAACGTCGCGCATAAAGCGCGTCGATCGGTAGTCCAATTTTGTAATTTTGCCGTGCATACGAATGCGCGGCCGTCGATTAGTCGCCCTTCAATTCGTCCATACCGGGACGTTTCGAAAATCACAATTTCATTCGATCAAACACCGTCGACGTTCGTTTTTAACAATGTTAACTATTTCTGTCTCTTCGTGTCAATGTTAAAGTTAAGCTCGTTTCGTATTCTGACGGGGATACGACCCCCATGTTCGTTATCGTAACGCTTAGATAATTTTGCCACGGGGTACGTCGGAATCCGAAAGATACGTCTACCGTTTCCTTCGAATAAATATTCCCAGTACAGCATAGTTCGTCCAGTATTATAGAAGAAACAAGCTACGTTTCTGTAAGGTGGCAAAATTATAGAACCGTGGCCCTTGTACGGAAAGATCATTGTACTTAGTTGGTCCCAAGAGGGCTCGTGCAATGCGGGGGCCCGTAGGCAGGAGGCGTCCTCGACCTTGAGACCCGAACAAGCCAATCCCAAGCCTTTTGCTCGATGGCACCGAGGTCACGGGATTGGCTAAATGTTCTCCACGATACCGACCAACCACTTCCGAGTGTTTCCGGCTGGGGCCGCCAGACCGATTCCCCGGAAAGCAGAGACACCCGGTGAGTCGAGAGAGCAGGTAACGTGTCGTAATTTCTGTTCTGCATTTTCATTCTTCACCCCCCACGCCAAAGCACTGTTTCTCCCAGCGCGCACTGTCGGCCAAGCAAGCAACGTGGACAAAAAAAAAAGAAAAAAAGAAACGCAAGTGGTTATCAATGCGCGATAACGGGCCAACAACCTTAACAGTTCCGACTAATCTCCCTTCCTGTACGAAGGTGCAATTTGGCCCCGAAACGGCTCTGTATGGCTCCGATTACGCATTGTTGAACCCTGCGACGAAACAACGCGGCACGCAAACTGTGTGCTCGTCGGTGGCTGTGTAGCACAGGGAATCGACTCCTTCCGTACGCGTAGCAATTTATTCGTGACGTTTATACGATCGAACATTTAAATTTTTATCCGCTCGATCCGCGATATATATTTCGTTTTATAATTGAAATTTTTATTTTTACTCAACGGGTTACGGATAAACCGGATGTAGCTTTTATTCGTCGTTGGAGAGTTTCGTTCAGATAAGAATTTTTGCCCGCCTCTGGTCCGAAACCGTTCGTCCCCGTAACACACAGTCGAGCCTCGAAAAGCATATTTTTGGTAAAGCCAGTTTTTTGGTACGGTATTTTTTACGATATATCGTCCGGCTGAGATACATTACATTGGACCAGCCAATCGTTCGCTCTGGTTTTTTAACGCACACCACGCTTTGGCCATCCAAGCTTCAATCCCCGTCGGCGTGCCCGACAAAAACCCTCAGACAATACTCATAAGATTCAGAGCGAGTACTTGTGCTTAGGGTACACGACTCTCTAATGCACGAATTCCGTGATTAGCAATCCTCCTGCAAACGACACCTTCCCATACAGCGCTCTGTGCTACTAGGGTGGTGCATAATCACGTCCAAAAATTTCATACTCCCTGAATTATCTCCTTTTCTTCTTCTAATTGGAATAGTTTTTCTGTTGGTGTTTTGCTTCCGGTAGTGGTGCAAAGGTACTCCAGCTTTCGATTTTTCTACGCTTCCTTTTCGATATTTTCCTCGAGACAAGACTGTACAAGAGCATACCAAAATGATCTCTAGAGACGTAAGAGATTTTAGATAAAATTTTTCAAACAAATTTTCACAGCTACGATAGCCTTCGCGTGCAATTTTTGCACAAGTGGGAACGAAACGAGTTTAGCCGGATGAGAAAATGTTGGGGAAATAATGGTAGAAAAGCACGAAAAAAAAAAAACTTATGGACCACCCTGGTGATAGTAACCACCCCCGCAGTCGTCGACGCCGTGCATTTATACGGCGTCGTTGCATTCTAATCCCGACTGTAACGATTCGTCGAACAGCCCATTCCGGTTTTGTTTTCGTTCCGTCGACCTGCCTTCTCCCCCGAACGGATCAAAAACTATCTCCGCGGAAGTTCCAACGAACGATAATAATCCAGCGGTCGAGCATGTAACCCCATTTAATTCCGCGGCTTGTGGAAACTTTCGAAAGACAATCAATGGTTTCGTCTGGCACTTTGCAAAGTAAACGCTGCCGGATGAAATTAATGATCTTCCTTCAATCTCGTTTGATTGCAGGCCTTTCCCGTGGCGCCCGGCGCTCTTGCTCCACCTGTCTGTAACTCGCGTTTCGCGCCATTTTTCTTTCTTTCTCCCCTTTGTCAGGATTTTCTACGCGAATTTCCGCGATAAGAATGGAACTAATCTGTTCAACGGGCAAAGAAGCGAAATATGTTCCGTTTGTACGTGTATACGATCGGCTGCCGCGAGCTAACGGGTCCTTAACCCGCCCCAGAACCTCGGCAATCGTAAACGTTTCGTCGAGCCAAAAAATATTCCCGCTGAAAAGAGGCGTTAAACCATTTGCAAAAGCCTACGGCTGTGGTACTCGCTGTTAAATGTTCCCTAACTGCACGCGATATTCGATGCAACGATGATAAAATGACTACGTTTTTCCACGGCTTCTAATTTCAATTTACTGTTACCAACGTCGATGTTGTAACTCCTGCTTTAGACTTTCTTAAATCTTCTTTTCTTGCTTAGCAACTTCGCGATCTTATTTGATACATTCGGCGACACAAAACGATGAAAGGATGCTTGGATATTTGGCTTGACCGCGAGATCAATTACGAATTCAGAGATTATTTCCATATTTGTCGCGGGCTGCTGCGACGATCAATTTTTTACAGTTGACAATATCGACGTCGTTACATCTCTTAACGTCGTTTTAATATTGATATTAGCGACTAGAAGCCGCTTCCTCGAACGATTTCAAGTTACGATGCTATAACTTTGACTGTGTTCGAAAATGGCCACTGTCGGGTGCTCGAAAAGAAATATTTTTGCATAGCGTGCGTCTGTATGTCGTATGAAATCAGGAAACGATAGTCAATTTAGTTTTTTCTTAGTTTAGTTTATTTATAGTAAATTCAGTTCAGCGGATAATTAATGAAAATTGTGTAGCTAGCCAAGAAAATAAACCTCGGCCTTAATGTTACCGATATAAGAGACCTTATCCTACTGGGGTATGACTTTGAGTCACATATCAAGTTTGAGTAAGTGGTCTATAAGTAAATTTATATAATTATTATAAATTAAATAAATTTACTTACGGACCTTACTGTCAGTCAAACACGATATGCGACCCAAATCCACACCCCGCTAGGATCGGGGTCAATTTACATACTTTTCATTTCGAAGCAATGAAAGAAAATTATATTTCACGTCCTCCAAAAAAATGGCTGCAGTGTTTTAAATCAATTTCTACAGACGAAGACGTAAATATGGAAAGCATTGCAAATGCGAAGAGATTCATTTACGACTGTTTAGCATGCTACAGTCAGACTTTTTGCTCGGTCTTCTATAAAAATATATTTTAAACGAGTGGTAGATCCAGTTGCCTTTTCCATTTGTCTTATCTGCATCTAGGGTTGCTCGTATGGAAAACATGAATTTCAAATCCATATATTTATAAATATGTTGCTATGTCGGCACCAGCTTTACTATTTTAATTAAGAGTAACAAGTAACGTAGAGTTTCTTTTACTGTACTTGTTGGGACATTCTGTACATGGTTTTACTATTACGATTATTTTCTACAAATTAGTTCATGGAAATTATTTTGCTCGATAAATATAAAACTTTATCTAGTACGCTTAGGAAAGAGACCACTTTCTATTGATCGTGATAGCAAACTCCGAAGAAAAGTTTATTAATTCAAATCGAGGTTTATAGTGTATGGTGAAGGTCGACTTCAAGAATCGCTCAAAGTTTGACACAGTATTGTGCATCGTACGTAGAAAAATTATGTGCGCGAAAATTAAAAATTGCAGAAATGTTGTTCAAGTGCAACCATTTTTTGTTTCCGCAATGAAACGGTTCTAAGGGCGAAAGCAACCCCTCAAAGACATTGTGACTGTTCATATTGTCGTGAATGTAAAGAACGTTTCGCTGAAGCAAAAAAACAATTACGTTATTAACGTCACTTGAGCTACATTTCTGTAGAGTTCCAAATTTTTTTGAATTTTCATCAGACGTCGATCAAATAACCCCCATATTTAGTGCCCCACCATTCGAACGTTGTATTATCCGAGCAGAATATCCCCGTTTCTATTAAAATAATTATCTCACAACGTCGAAAATTAATTATTAAAAGAATTTGGCACGAGTAATAATGGAAAAAGTAATATAATAAGAATCGAATGGTGCAGGGAAAGCCACGATGGCTGGCATTAAAAATACTTTATTAGGAATCTTTCGAACGTTCGTGGTATTAGAGAAAGGGTTTAGACGGTTTCAGCCATAAAAGGAATTCCACGTAGGTATATTAAAAAAAACTTGTGGGACCAAGCAACGAAAAAGATGTGGAATTCCTGAACTTTCGAGAATTAACTTGTGCAAGAAAAATTGTTCCTTTCCTATTTGTTGATATCCGAGCCAACGTCGTGGATCGCTTAAATGTTTTTGTTATGTGTAGCGTGAAAATTCTTCTTTTCCAAGTGGCCATTTTCGGACGTAGGTTTGTTCGGTTGACGGAAACGGGAATCGGCGTGGCTTAGGCGTGAAAAAATCGAGACACAGTTGAAAATGAGTATTTATTTAAATGGTGCAAAGTCAGAATTACATCGTCGAGCGAGAGATGCACCGTGTCCCAGTGTCCGTGATACTGTACGCTCGATGATCGCGCGCGCGTCGGTGTGCGTAGGCTTATCTCAGGGCGTACGGCGAGGTTGAAATTATTCAGCCGGTAACGGCAGAGACTGTACCGAGTCCGTGCTATGCTTCTGAGAAAATAAACTCTCCCGCGCTTCTTCGCTGCCCGTAGCCCCGTAGCGCGCCAGCCACTTCCTTCGTGAATTCTCTTCCTCGAAGATCGAGTTGATTCGAGTAGCCGACGCTTCCCTCGCGGGGACCATAAGGGGACGAGAGCCCGTCGACTGCGCAATTCGCGTTGCAGACAAAAAAGAAAACTGCAGAGACGGTGAAAAAGGTAAAAAAGAAAGGAACAGAGAGAGAGAGAGAGAGAGAGAGAGAGAGAGAGAGAGAAAATAGAGGAACGAGAGGCGAACGGGATATCGAATTTTTTTGCAACCCCTCCTGCTCCCGCTTTGCGCCTATATTGATTTTTAGAAATTCCTCGCGAGACGACCGAACGAACGAGCAAAACGGACCGGCGAAGGAAAGCGCACAGAAACACAAAGCTGCTGGGAAAGGAACGCGTGTGTGCCTTGAGTCCGTCGCGGTCTCGTGTAGGGCGGTGCAGCACCGTTTTACGAAACCTTTTAACGGGCAACGTCCGATAGAAACCGGGGAGGGGGAGACGTAAATTAACTTGGGAGTTATCAAACCGGGAGAACACACTGCGTCGCGTCTTTGCGAAACGTCTTTGAGAACTCTCGGTCGAGTTGAACGGATCGTTTTTTGTGTCTTCTTCTCGTAAGGTGACGCTGCGAAGACCTATTGCGTAATTCATTAGTAGATATTCTCCTACTGTTTTTCATAAGCTTCGTCTAACATTTCATCCCGTTTTGTTTATGTTATTACGTTCGGTAATGCTACTCGTCTTAAAAGACCGTCGAAAAACATCCGTTAACGAGATTCGCGTTTTACGGGTTCTGTGAAACATTGAAAAACGTTTGGCACGATATTTATTCTTAGAAATTTCAATTTAGATCACGGTTTGCAAGTGTTTTTTTTCTTTCTTTTTGCGTGTTAAATCTATATAATATTCTAATATCTAGAATAATATTTGTCCTCGTAACTCTCCGGCGTGCAAGGAAGAAAATGAAAATACACGTTTATCGAGTGAAAGTTGGTCGAATCTTGTTTATCAAAATTTAAGCATATACGTTGATTATTCTAGGCGAAATTGAGAACCCCTGTTATAGATAATGCATCGCATTTAACATGTACGGAATTTCCGCGAGAGATCGAAAACATCGTGGAACAATGGGAGAGCAAATAATAGTAGACTGTGTAAATTGCAGTATTCGATCGAACGATATATTTTCACGAAGATAATAGTCTGGCATGTAATAATAACAGAATGCAAAAAACTTTCCGTTGGAACGGCACCGTGGACTGAAAAGTTGTAAAATAATCGTAAGAGGGTGGCTGTGCACGAGTTCGGAAGTATTCGGTAAGTATACGTTGATGGGATTTGTTTCTAGCAGCGGGAAAATTCCCACCCACGTTAGACATAATGCGAGACGGCCCTGCTCATAGTCGAAAGCAATCGAAGGTAGTCGAAGTCGTCCGAGGACAGTGGAAAATAGTGGGACGTTTCCCCTCTTTCGGTTGTGATTGCCCCTCTGTTCCCACCATCGGTTGCGCATCCCTTCCCCCGTGCTCGTTGGCTCTCTCTCTGTTCGTCTCGTTACCGTTGGCGGTTCTCTCGGTCGTTTCCTCCTCCCTCTCTGTCTCGCTCCGACTGCCTGTCTCCCTCTCTGTTCCCTTCCGTCTTTGTCGTTCTCTGTCTCTCCTTCTTGCTCGTTCGGCTCGTTCTTAACGTCAAACCACTTAGGGCCGCGGACCTCGGCAGTCAGTCGATCTTTCCTAGCAGCAGCATTCCGGCATTTTCCACCTGATCGCGCGCGAGCGGTCCGGCAAACGCCATTTTGTTCGATCACGTCTTCGTTTCACGTTAGAAGAGAGTATCCTCGTGCGTAAAAACGTTCGTATGTGCCGCGCACCCTTCCACGCCCCGTGGAACACCTGCGTTTACCGAAAACACAACAAACGAAGGCGACGCACTTTGTAACACGCGCGCGCGTTGTTGTCGACGTCGACGTCGTCGTGTGGTGCCGGTGGTTTTTACTTCGGGACCGTTGGCCGTTGGTTCCGTCAAGCGAGAAGGGGCGAATTCTCGCGAACGCGGAAAAGGACGCCGCGACGTGTTGTTTTGTCCGTCGACGAGAACCCGCACGGAACACGGAGTGCGTGACCCCGCGCGTGGTGTTCTCTTCCTCTACACGTTTTTTCTCCTCGTTCAGCGACGTTCTGGACGACGCCTGGGAAACAATACACGAGAAAACGTGAGTACGTACCCGAATTACATTCCATGTTCGCGGCTATCTCGAGTGTCTTTCCGTCTGTGTCGCGCGCGCGAACGTTAGATCTTGTTTTTTTTCTGCCTGCATGGCATCGTCTGCCATGTTAGACCGGCGTCTGTTTCTCTTTCTCCCTCCTTTTCTGTCTCCCTTCTCGCGTTTCCCCCTGCCGCTCCCTCCCTTTCTGTCGTACCGCTCGCGCTTGTAAACGCGTTCTACCCCCACCTCTCTGTCTCTCGACAGGAGCGTCGACACGAATTTTCCGATCGCGAATTTTAAATGATAACAACACACGACGACGATGACAGCGCCCGGTCGAGGGACCTCGTCTGTCAATCGACCTCTCTCTCTCTCTCGTCCTCGCCTCGCCTTCTCTCGTTTATTCGGTTACGCGTGTTCCGTGCTCTTTTTCGCGCAACAATTCCTGCGTGTGTCTGGCGACGCGACGCGAGAACGCGGAGAGGTTCGCGTCGCAATCCCGACAGCGGGGAGACCACCACCAATGGGAGAAAAAGGGACGGAACGAGAGACACGCTGGTAAAACGGGACGCGAGTGAAAACGAAACGACATATCGTCGTGTGCCCCCACGATTCTACGCGAATGTGTACGGACGATTTCTTCTTCCGACGTTTTTGTCTCTTTTCGGAACGATACTTTTCGAGGAAGGCTGTGCGCGCGCGTTCTACACACGGCGAACATAACCTCAAAAGCTAGGCAATTTCGAGCGTCCCGACGACCGCTTTGGCCGTACGTTCCATGGACGTTAGGCGCGGTTCTTGACACTGGACGTTCGCAAACCGATTCGCACAGCACGTGTGCACGCGTTCCGATGCTCGTCGAAAGCGTATCGCTGTGTGTAATTAGAGTTTTGTTTATTTCTCGTGGCTACTCGTGAAAGCGCGCCGCGAGAGGGGAGGGCAAACGGTCCGGCTGCGAGATTTCTAGACACGTAACAGTGCGTTCCGTGGGAAACACGTGCTCGAAAAATGTTTCACTCGATCGCCGTGAATTGCGTCTTTCGGTCGTGAAATCATTTTTGAACCAGAATTATTTCCAAGTGACTCACCGTTACAAATCAGATTAACGAACATGCTTTCCATGAATTTCTGCCGCGCAGTAACCGACAGAGTAAACGACAGTTAACGCACGACGGCTTATCGTTTCGCGCGGAAATTTTTCGTCTCTCTAGGAAAACCAACGACCAGCTCGGACGTTTTTGCGAAACAATAATTTTCATAAATAATTCGATATCGCGTCGTTGTTGTTTTACGTTTGACCGTTTTTTCTCTTTCTTTTTTTTGTTTTGTACCGCGCGTTGATTGTCACTGGCCTCGCGCGGGTTCTTGTGAAATGTAATAGAACGTAAAATGTTTTTCGCACGAGCGATCGCGTCACCACCAACTTATCTACGAATATCATGGCGTGCAATCGACTCGGCAAAAATTTTTATCAGCTGTAAAACAAAATTTTTACCATTTCGTCGTCTGTTTGTTTACTCCGTTATCTAGTTCCGACGGAATTAATAACTCCACGCTTTCGACTTATTTTTCAAAGAGGAATCGTTTCCATTCGTATTGCACCATGTATTTCGAAGCATGCTGTGCAACGTGTATGCGTTGGACCTTGCTCGAATAATTACGAAATCCTATTGTGATCGTGTTTTTTTCAAGAGTTTCTTTTTCCTTTTCGTTCGTAAAAATTGCGTTATCTTCCGTTAACGATACGCCGTAACAAATTCGTATTAAACTCTTCGAAAAAGAGCGATTTTACTTGACGTCATCGCGGACCACCTGCCTTATACGCAATTTTCTTCAACGCGTGGAGCTCGTGGCGTCGTTGCTCGTGATAATTTATGCACATCGATGTTCGCGCGACGACGGGTTTTTCCAAAAATAAAATACGGCCGAATCGATCGGTCGCGACACATCGGAAAATTACCGATTGACATCACGCGATCGAGTCCGATGCCTTTTTAGATGCGTTTTCGAGGTTGACCGTGGGAAATCCGGTCGCTTTTCTTGTCTTCATGAATTTTTATGAATATCTGATCCTTACGAAAAAAGATACAAGACGATCGAGAGTTGCCACTGCTTCCTGAGACGCTCGCGCGGTCGTTTCCAGAGCCTTGATTATGCAATCGACGTCACCGGTATCGAGCTTGAAATTTTCCGAGTGAAAATGCCAACTAGCGATCTTTCAATTCCGAATCGATAAGAAAATCGATCTTTTCTAGGCGTGGATTTCGTCTTTTCCCAAGTATAGGGGAGTTTTTTTTTTGTTAAGGAAATCGACCGTTTCTAATATTGTTTCTTTTCACGTTGAAAACTCTCGACCAATGATCTCGTCGTATTCGAGCTATGCTCGGCTGTGAGTTTAGTAAACTGGTTTCGACGGGCAGTAGTCGATACCTCGTTAGGTGTACTTGTCTGACAAGGGGACCCCATCACTGCCCCACCGGAGATTTTGATGATATTTAGAAGGGTGAATTTAGAGGTCGAACGACGATATTGCGTGGAAAATTTTCCTTCCGACGTGCGTGTTTCGTTTATAAACAATTAACGTTCGAAATACAAACCGTAAATACTACATCAAAACGTACATATTTTTGTAGCATTTCAATCACCGATGTAACGGTTGTAAGGTTCCCTCGTGCGATTAGGGTCCGATAAAAAGGCCTCGGTCAACCGCCCGAGTATTCATAGTCATTTAATTTTTCTGTTTACGACTGCGGCCATTCCTATTTTCGCTATCTACGGCAAAGTCGCTTAACGTCATTTATCTTCGAGGCAGTTTTTTAAGTCCTAACACTTTGGACTTGAGAATTTCTTATTCCCCGGTCTTTTTTCCCCCGACCTGTGCATGAATATCTCTTTGAATATTAACCAGCGGCAGTGCGTAAAAAATTGTGAAAATTAATATTGCTGTTGGAGTGACTCGTAGCACGAAACGCGTTTCAAAGAAAAAAACAGAGACGACAGAGGTCGCAGGATTGTGCGAACGGAAGGAAGATCCGGAAGGAGAATAAAAAAGTCGGGAAAAAATGCAGTAACCTCTAAACGCGAAAATAGTTTCGTCGATTACCCTGTACACGGTGGTCGTAGATACGACGGAAATCCTCGTACCGGATCGAAATTTATGTTAATAAATGTAATATGCTCTCTAAGATGAAACCTTTATACCAATAAAAAGCGGTGTCGGGCACTCACGCAACCGTGCGGTTCTGAAGCGTACTGCCTGGCGTATTATGGCCTGGCCGTCACGGTGCGAACGACCTCTGTGCGCCGAGCACAACACGCGTATGGAACAAACACGGTGTAACGACACCGATCCCGTCAATCACTCCACTCTTTCTCCTTCGATCGCCGAATTTAACTCCGCCACGAAATTTTTCCTACGAAAGCCACCGGCGTTGCACAACTTTCCTCGATATTAATTTCATACGTATGGGAATTTTCCCGGTTTCAACCCTTCGTTTAGTCGCGGTAGCAAGAGTAATTTATACCGTCGCGTGTCATCTTTACCTTTTTTCGAATTGTCTTTTTAACGTGCCATTCTCTTTCACACCAGTCAAATTATTCAAATTATATCAATAATTAAGTTTTACGAACAGGGGTCGCTAGCGAAGAATTTTTTTAGAAACTCCACGACCGATTGACCCGTTTCTCGGTTATAGCCATTTTTGCACTCCGTTAATGCGCGGTTGCCTACTTTCACAGGAAATGCTCAAAATGACTATCTTTGGCTCAGAAGCCTGCAACTTCCTGTCGTAGAACTTTTTAATCTTCGAGATATTCCGGATATTTGTATGCATTTCGTTGGCAGTGTTTTTCGTACGCGTCAAGTGCTTCAACGCTGGCGATAAACGTCGAGTAAACAAATGTTTTTAAAGCGGCGCCGAAAATAAAAAGTCCAGCGGATTTAGATCCCGGGGCGTAAGGCCAGTCAATAAGCCCCTGCATGGGTTGCTTATCCATCTGTTGGAAAATCGTTCGCTGAACAACTGTCGGAATAGTCGAGTGAAATTTGCCCCATCATGCATAATTCACATGGGACGTACATCTAATGGAAACTCCTTCCAATAATTCATACGATTGATTATTCACGAAATTGACGTAAGATTGACTTGTTAATCTCTTATTAAGGAATACAAGTATTCGTCGAACATTGTGTACAGCTAGTTTATTGAAATCAGTTGGTAATTCCGACGACGACAAACAAATTTTTCTGAGCTTCGCAACAGCGATAATAACGACTTGTTAAACACTGGATTAAATCAGTATTTCTGTAGGAAAATTAGGGCAATTTGACAAGACGCGTATGTTCGGAAAATACAGAATTTTATTTGTATTATCAGATTCATACTTTGGCGATCAATGGCGAGGCGAGTGTGCCTTTGCCACGACGCGACTTCGCCGCCCCAATCAACGTGAGAATAATTGGTACTGTGCAAAGCTGGAAAGATGATTAGTGGACGGCCACAGGAGCCACTGGGATATCCAACACGCTCCGTAAAACTGTCATGTCCACTGTATCCTTATTCCACTCTGTAAAGGGTCGATTCGACGATTTTCCAAGCTCCGGCGACTTTCTTTGGATCATTCGCAATTTACCGCGTGGAAATATTATTCGTTCCGAAAATTAGTAAAACTCGATACGTGTTTGCGTACAAATTTCAAGGACAGAAATTTAATTTCTTTTTAGAGGGATGTCAGTCACACTTTTGTTTTGCCCGAAAATTCTAGAGGGAGCTGTGTCGAGGCGGGCACGATCGGAATATGAAATCGGTTTCCGGGGGGCTTTATTTCCCGCCGCGAACAACAAATTGCGTATTTATCGAGGACTTGTTCTCGAAAATACCAGCGAACCGTGTTGCACGAGCGAGCGTTCGACCACTACGGATGCAATCAGCCACTTATGGGTCGCGTTCGCGCGCGCGCGCGCGCGTTCTCGCTCGCTATGGTGGGGCAAGGAGTCAATATCGAAG